AAAAAAAAGTTGCCAACAAAACTTTCTAATATCTTTTATTCTAAGATTTTTGTGACGCTAAGAAAACATTTCTGTTCAAAGCCTCGTATGTACTTTTACACTAGATATTTTTTCTCTGTCAAGTTGAGAATGAAAATTTGAAATGTATAACTATGAATAATTTTATTTTCTTCTGAAACTAAAACTGAAATTCTTTATTTTTATCTATGCATCATATATATGCATTGATATTTTAAGTTGACGTAACTCAAATGTATCATTCTATCATATTTATAAATGTATATTATTCCTTTTTTTTTTTGAAAAATCTCTCAAACTGTCATTCGAACATTGTAATAGTCAATATCTATCTAAAGATATTCTCAAGGATTTTTCTGACTGTATAAAAGAAGTAAGACTAATACAAAAAATACTTTTCTTTTTAACACGATATGAGTTTCTAGGCAAGATTTCTTCGTTTCGTTTTAGAATGCTTTAAACAGTCAAGATACAAATCAATTAATGCAAGCTATGACTAACAACAAAGTTGTTATTAATGAAACAGGAAAACCAATATCATCTAAAACAAAAGTGTCTACAGTAACAGATGATGTTAATACTGAATCATATCATACATCAGGTAGAATTCTATTTTGATACTTTTCCTAGTTTAAATATATATATATTTGTGTTTGTAGAAGTTATTCGAATGATGAATCAACCAACAAGCGTTCGATGTATCAATACACCCAATGGTTCAACAGCTGGTGATACATCAACATCATCTGCTTGTAAGTTAAATAAATTGAAATTAATTTAAAGTTAATATAGAATTTTCTTTTATATTTAGTAAATCTCGATCGAGGACGAGGTGAACTTGATAATGATATTCGAAAGTTATTGAGCAATATTCGTGAACGACGAGCACAACTTGTTCATGAAAATTCACAAGCAGCACCCTTCACATTAACATCAATTAATACTCCTGCTGCTATTTCTTGAATCTCATTCTATTGTAGATTAGTTGTGTTTAGTTTCTATTTCATGTGTTTCTTTTTTTTTTCAATATGCCAATGTTGAATTAGTATTATAATATCAATAAATGTCCATGTGTAGGATTTATACTGAAAATTCAAATGATAAATTTTTATGAATGTGATAAATTATTGATAAAAAAAAAAAGATGATCAATAAAAGTAGGTTCGAAGGCGACTATAAAGTTTCCACTACAGAACAAAATATATGTAGACTTGTAGAGAAAGACTTCAACTATCTAACAGCGTGTGTAATATCAGATTCTCCACTGGTATGTTAATCAGTGGCTCTGCCTATTAACTGCTCAATATTACACCGTACCCAGTCAGACAAACGTCGAAAAAAACGACGTTTTTTCGTGTAAAAAGCGCACATTTTACCGTTTCATGAAATGTAACTTTTGTTCGAAAAATAAAGCAACCTTGTTAACAGCAACATCGGGAAAATGATTCTTTTTCCAAAAATAAACGCTTTTTAACGCCTAGAAAATGTGCGATTTTTATGCGTAAAAACGTCGTTTTTTTCACGGCTTGTCTGACTGGGTTGCCTGTTGTCTACGCTTCATAGAAATATATCTCTTCGCCAGGTCGTCTCTCTCTCTATTCTAACAACAACAAAATCTCTTTTACTTCATTTATACAACGTTCGTATGAGAAATATTCTAAAGTAATAGCTTTGATTATTTCATATTATTGAATATAAACATATCATTTCTTTTTCTTGGCATGACTATTCGAACAACAGCAACAATAAACATCTGATGCTTTACCACTGCCCTCGATCGATTCAATAACAAGAGCTGAGACAGCATTGCAATGATCGAGCAAGATCTCAATGCTGACACTGAAACAGCTCGAAATTTGAAATTCTTAAATGATTCTGTTACAAAATTTTACTATCATACCAGTGTCACTATCTCGATTATCAACATAAAGATGATATTTTTATTGTTTTTTTTCTTAATGTTTGCGCTCATTGAAATAGAATATGAGTTTAGATCGAGTTAATGATCTTATCTTTTCTTACGCATTTTCAAGGTTTTCTAACAGTTAAAAGGTATTCATGCATTAAGATATAAAATGTATAAAAGTAAAAGAATTACAAATAACCGATCTTTTTCGATCACCATAGTGGCATGAAATATATTTTTAAATTTTAAAGGCTTCAATGATTGACTGTGACTAATCGAATTATGTTTGCACTTATTGCATTTAATAGTGCGTTGCTATATTTGTGGACGTTAATATCCCTTTCATTAATCACCGAGTAGATATTTTTTGCATGATCAAATAACTTTTCGGGACCTTTTTCTCGATTAACAAAAGTAAAACAGTCTATTCTATATTAAGCCTCAACAATAAGAATCTATATGTTTATGTGTGAATCAACGACTTTTCTTAATAGTAAAACTCAATATTTTCGAATAAAGCTTCTCAAACTCGATATACTTTATCATGTATACTATAATTAGATCAAAAGTCAATAGAACAATAGTCTAGCATATTTATTTTATAATAATCATTTTTCAGAAGCTCATTTACACCATATATTCTATGTTTATTATTGTGTCATACGACTAAACTCATCAGAGAAAAAATGAATCTACTATAAATAGTTATTGAAAAAAAAAGTATATTAATGGTTATATGCTGAAAATAGATTCGCTATAGAGCTATTGACATATGAATAGGACAAAGTATATTTTGTTTTGCTGTTGGGTACTTTTCAAAACTATGTCTCACTCTATTGCTCATTATTCATTTACCTTTCATTCTTATTATCCTCATATTTAGTAACACGTTCTTTTAATACACTTGGCAGAAATCAATAAACGAACTAAGAATGATTTTGACAGTACCTATCATGTTACGTTTAGTACTTATAATTGTTTTAAAAACTTATGTGTTTTGTGATGATTCTCCTAGGTAAGTAAAACTTGTTTAATCAAGAATACATATCAATATATATTTTTCTAAATCAATAGAATACCTATTTATCGAGTCTCATCACGTTCACCAAACAAAATAAATTGTACAGTAACAAAAGAAAATGTTACCATATGTGAAACATCTTCACGTAGTTTTGGTCGAATAACTACAAAAGTTGCCACTGTTTACGAAAGTCTTCTTAATGTAGCTGATGTAAGTAACTAATGATTATACCTGAGTATATTCATATTTATATCTGTTTCTAAGTGACATATTACTAAAGAAAATAGACAATACATATAACTTTTCAGACTAGAATTCCCCTATACATATGTAGTTCGTTGCCGTTTCTCTGTGATATATAAAGTAATTGATATGTAATCCATGTTTGAAACTATATAAAGATAATCTGTTAGTTGTAGTACAATAAAACATATTCTATAGAACATATGAATATTATTTTCAAAAGTAATTATATGAATTCATATTTATTGATAGACAGATTGTAATATCTGCTTTGTTTTTTTTGATAGACATATTTTGTTGGAAAAATTTCAATTGGTACACCTGCTCAACAATTTATCATAGATTTTGATACAGGATCATCTGATTTATGGGTAGCATCAATCAATTGCTTATTGAATTGCGGTAAGATCTTGAAGTTATCTGTACTATATGAATGCATTTAAATTTTGAATTCTTCAGATAAACTTAACAAATATAATGCAACATCTTCAAGCACACATATTGCTAATGGTAAGAGTTTTTCAATCGAATATGGTGATGGATCTTCAGCTGCGGGTTTCTTCAGTATCGATACCGTTACAGTAAGTGAAATTGATATAATTCAAAGATATTTGTCATTTAGAAATTAGGTAATTTAATAATAATAGATCGAATTGTTTCAAAAACTCTTATCGTGAAAATATTTTTATAATTAAGTAGATTATTAGATGAAGAAAAAGAAGCTTGATACAAGCTTGTCTTTTTACCAGACAAAATCTAAACACGATAGTTAAAGTCTCTTTGTAATCAAAAATATAGTTTTTCTTCATTTTAAAATTAGTTATTAATTCTATTCAAATATATAGATCAATGGAATTAAAGTAAACAATCAAACATTTGCTGAATGCACGTCTATTATTGGTATGAGCGATTTACAAAGTGATGGTATTTTGGGTCTTGCATATCCTGGTTTAACACTTGGCAATGAAATACCTTTTTTCTACAATATGTGGTATAGTGGTTTAATAAACAAACCTATATTTTCTTTCTATTTGAATCCGTAAACACATCATAAATCACTTAAAGCAGAAATTTATTTTTTTTCGTTTTCAGTGATATAAGTTCTTTATATGGTGGTGAACTCGCTTTTGGTAATGTAGACTCAACTAAATATACAGGTTCAATTGCGTACGTTCCGGTAGTAATACAACGATATTGGGAATTTCTAATGGATCGGTAAAATTTTTATTTATATATTTTTTTTTTAAATTTATCATATAATATGTAAAGTATTTATGTTGACTCGACTGTTATCAATGCATCATTGTATGCTATTATTGATACCACTAGTACATTTATTATTGGTCCCGCTACGCCAATCAATATTTTGAATACTGCATTAGGTGGTACTTATGATTCGCTTGTTACAATGGTAATAAATAAAATATACGTTTTGTTAAAAATATTCATTTATATTATTTTGTTTGTTGTAGTATAAAGTTGATTGTATAACACGCTCACTCTCATCATTTCCTAATGTAACTTTTATAATCGGTGGTCAAGCATTTACATTGACACCATTGCAGTACATCTTGATTTTATTTGATGAAAATAATGACTATGTATGTTATACAGTTTTTGTCCCATCAAACGTATATGATTCACGTGGTAATCTCTTTTGGACATTGGGAAATTTCTTTCTTTATCGATTTTATTCAACTTTCGACATTTTAAATAATCGAGTAGGTTTAGCTACATCGATATCTTACAATTGGACACAACCTGTTAACCCAGCTCTATTTAATATTTCATCAATAACAACACAATCAACAACTGTAACTACGAATACGACAACAACAGTATCGATGGCATCAACTTTAAATAGTTCAACACTGACAACAACTGTAGCATCAACAGCTATCAAAATGGAAATATTCTTAAGAGATATTACAAATAACATTGTATTACTATTGGCACTACTTGTCATCAAAACTATCTAAAACTGATCTCATTATTATCAGCTCTTATTTTGAAATGTATGCAAATGCATGAAATGTTGTGTAAAACAATAATTTTTTCAACATTGAAATTATAATCTTCTATAAAACTTATGTGGTCACATAAAAACAAATTTTTGACAGCATATCGGTAGTTCTCTGACAAGAGAGAACATTTTTAAGTGATAAAAAAAAACTTTTGAAATTTCACTTTGCACACAAGCAACATATATATATATAGTCTAGAAGTCTAGACAAATATGAAAACTAGCCACCATTTGACAAAGCTATCGAATTTTTACTGCAATACATGAGTTTCTGAGTAAAATCAAATTGCGAAGTCAATGGTCTGAAATTTTCGCCACATGATTGATCTTCATCAGATTAGATTATACACGAAGTTGTCAAGAATTTTGAAAAAGTTCATTTCAGAATATGAATTTTCCAAAGTATCCATCTTGGGCGGTGCACCAACATTACAAGAGATAGAATTGTTTTCCATAATATATCACGCCTCCTGTTTATACTGGAGTAAGAATACTTAATCAAACATATATACATATATATTCAATTCAACTCAGTAGTTTATATAGGAGAATTGACCTATATTTTCGTGGTTTTGTTTATTGTGATTCTAATGAATATACTTCTGACATGTGATTATTGAAGCAATACATAATCGACATTTTGATTATTTTTAGCTCTCTCTCTCTCTCCAGCCATAATAATCGATCTTGAAAATTTACTGTGGGATCAAGATCAATAGCCTAATCGTAAATCAGCTTCTATCTCTCTAAGACTGATTATGTGATGCTTAATCATTTTGATCAAAAGAATCGAAGTCCGTTGAATCAATATTTAATGGGCGAAACCCAATGACTAATCTTTTTTCTTGTTTTCTTATCAATAAAAGTGAGCTTGATATTTGGCATTTATAGTTTGCTTTTGTTTTTTCTTTATGAAATTTACAATTTAGATTTCCAAATTTGAAATCAAAATGTCTGAAAAAAAATCAAAACTGAAGGACAGTACCTTTATCCTTGCTGCTGATTGTTACGTTTGTAATCTTCTTTTTTCTAAGAAAAGCACAGTTGTTCAAATTTTAGACAATCTTTTATATGAGTATCAAATTGAGAATACAATAATCAATAAACGAAGGATCATGGGGAAAAAATTCAGTTTTTCCTAAATGATTTTGAGTAAATCTTTTTCCCAGTTAAATGTATTACACACATTTCAAGCTCGTAATGTCATGTCAGGTGATACAAGACTCAGGCCTCTATATAGTGTGTTTTTGAGAAAAATTAAATTCAAGGGACAAAGATTTTGTTGCTCATATGTCCACTATAATGAGGGGAGAAACAAAACAGATCTATTCAAAGTTTTATTGCTTCCACTAAATAATTGATCTTGCGCCGCCCATAATATCCATGCATAACACAATATCTAAAAAAAAAAAAGAAATATCTTTATACTGGGATGCTGATGTTACTGACGCACCTTGCCCAAGAGTAACATCCATTCATATTTTCTTAAACTTTATTAGGTCTATACATCGCCTAATTATTTATGGACAATGTTTGATGTCAAAAGTTGTTTGCACATTTGAAACCATTGCCTCGTTAGATCTTGCTTTATCTTTGTAATCCTCTTGTAACTTTGTTTATTATGTATATTTATTTCTAAAGAGAAATAATGTGATTTTTCCTTATGAGAGATGAAAAACGATCAAGTTCTTTTTTTGTGAGTGCAATTTCGAGCATTACATCGTCATCAATCTAAAACAAATATATATACTATTAATAGTTACATTTCAAGTTGAGCATGAAATGTCAGCCATAATCTAGATAAAATAAATTAATAAAAAAAAAGCAATTTCTGCTATGATGTTGGATATTTAGAGATCAACCATTAAACTTAATAATGAATTCGGAATAATTAGCAATAGAATAGTCATGTATATCTATACCTAAAGACAATATTACCAAATTAAAGAATAAACAAATCCGTATAGAATAATTTAAATATTTTCTCTCATCATTTAATGTGAATCAACAAAACCTATGTTTTTTTTTGTATGAGTTACTTATTCCGAATGTTTTTATAGTCGATTTCTATTTTGATGCATTAAAAAATTGTATTGAATTTTATATCTTATCATATTCAACTAGCATTCTTTCATGTAGAAGAATCAATCTGAAATCAAACAAGAAAACAAATTGTTTTACTGTTGACAAGTAATCAATAATAAATTATATTCTTTCAACGATTACCCATTCTAATCATTTTATTATACGATCTATCACATAATATAAACATTGATGCTGTTGATAAATATATATTGTAGTTACAACTCGTTCTTGGGTAATTTTTCTTTTTTTCTAGATGATTTTATCTGTTTTTATTTTCTAGAAATTATCCACCTAATAAATCAATAGACTAATATTTACAATATCAGTATGCCTTAGAAATCAACAATTTTGACATGCCTACATCTTATTTCTTTGTATGTCAACTAATTTATTATTGAGTTATTAATTTATAGAATAAAATCATAATTGAAATTGTAATGTGAAATTCAACGTAATATCCATGTATAATAAATTCTATTGGACATGAAAAAAAAATCGTCAATAGTCCTTCAACTAACAACTATTAATCTCTATCTTGAATATCATTTGTATTGAAGATAAGTTTTGTTTATTTATTTTTCTTTTATACTAGTTGTCATAAATATGAACATGAACCGTAAATGATCATTAGAACGTCAAAAAATTTACATACATATATATGTATGGATGTGAATATCAAATAGGAAATTGAAGTGATGACGGATCATAAAATATCGTTAGTGTCAAAATCCAAAATGATAATGATTGTATTTGTCCAATATTGAGCATCATAGTATTATACATATTCAGTCTACTGAATAAATATTCTTCAATCTATTTGATGATCAAAACATTTTATCGTTATATATCACATACTAGCTCTTCTTCTTAGTCTAGTGATGTTGATATTATCACCCTTCATAGAAGACAACAAGTATGTGTAATATTTGTTGTTTCTCTCAATCGACAATCTGATCATCTCTATATTTTACTTCTTTTTCTGACAACAAAAGAAAGAAAAACGAATAAGTTTAGCAATTGAGACTGTCGCTCGTGCACATGTTTCACAGCGGATATTATAATAATGAGGATGACGGTGAAAGCAAAAATAATAAATATCAATAGATATCAATACTTGATAATCAAGCCACTTGCGTTTAATTATATGGTATAGAAATCGATCTTTAAATTTTAATAATAAAAATGTTAAATCTTAAAATACTTTTCAGAGAAAATTTTAACAACCAATCATCAATTTCATGTTTTTATTAAATAGAAAACATTTTGTAAACTTTTTTTTATTAATCCTTTTACATAAGATTAACGGGCTTTTATTCATCAAGAAATTTTCAAATATTACCAATTGAAAAAAAAATGACGTAGAATATTATTCATCGATTTTTTTTCGTCTTCTATTTTAGTGAATGAGTAATAACAATAAAATGACTTTATTTTATGTCAATATTGAGAATCATTTTCAATGAATTTTAAGTTTTATTATTATATTTATTCATAGAAGATTTTATGAACTAAACTTATGCAAGTATCTAAATAATAAATAACATCTGTTTTATCTGAATAGTAGATGAAACAAAAAGGTTCATTATCATAGGCAAACATTCGAATGACGTAGTAGTAGTTAGCATTAGGGAAAATAGCTGCTTGAAGCATTGTCTCTTTTTTTTTCTTTTTGATGTTGTCATTGCCATTATTATACATACATCATGTTTTTCTTTCGTTCGATGCCTACCATGCATAGTGTGTTCTCTTCTATACCCATATCAACTATCATCATCATCATCATCATCATCATCTGTAAGCAATGGTTAATCCTTGCCATTTGGCTAAGCTACACTTTCTTATTTATGCTAAATAATTGAGAGTGAAAGATGGTATATCTCAAGCAAATCAAATAGAAATGAGAAAATAGCGTAACATATTCATTTCTACAGTTTCTATCGAACTGTACCGTTGTTTTTTTTTGTCTTTGGTTAATTCTAAACATTAATGTAAGCAAGATCATTTGTAATTTGATCTTGAGTTCTGCCATACAAACACGCGTATGCAATCGTCATTTTATTGAGGCATGAACCGCCTTTGTAATGCGAAGCTCAAACGTTTGCTATTTGTTTTTTTCCAATCAAAATTCCGTTCATCACATACGTGTGATTGTTGCTTAATACATATTTTTCAAGTAAACGAATAAAAAGTCAAAATCCAGATTGTCTCAATATCAGCAAGGGAACAGAAGAAAAAAAAGAAGAAGACGCTGATGATCTATTATTCTTCTTTCATTTACACAACTGGTATTGATTGTACAAGGCGGGTGTTGATGATAGTTCGTAGCTTCTTGTCGGTAATTAGTCTTGATGAATTGCTCAGTATAACACTGATTTACTCATTAATAAGACATGATGTTCAATATTATGAATGACGAATGAATTTTCATGCACATGTCTATTGATACTTTGTCTCTTACTGCCTATGTCCGTATAGATGAGCGCGATTGACTTTTGAAGATTGATTCGTCTCTGGGCAGACGCACGCGTGTGTGTTGACATCTGATAGGGTTGAAAAGCGTGCGTGCGCGTGCCGTACCGTGTTGAATCGAGCGTACATATGGGGCGGAGATATTGGACGACAATTAGCTTTTTTTTTGTATACTTGCTCGAAAATAACCTTTCTAAAGAAATATTGAGAGATGGTGATTTCCGACATAGTATATGTTTGAAGTTGATACTCAGTTACACTGTCTAGTTCAATCAAGTTGTAACTCAATAAAAGTAAAAATCAAAATCAAGAATAATGAACACAATAGAAACAGAAATTTTCTATTTCTCTTTCGAATCAATCAATAGATGTAACGATACTAAGACAAGAACAAGAGAAGAAAAAGATAGAGGTACCAATTGTTTATGTCAGTCAACCGAGACAGCCCATAGTACAACCAAGAGAAAAGAAAAAAAGACCTAAGAATAGTGCTGACGATCCTATTATCGAGAAAAACTAGCAAACAGAAAAGAAGACAAGATGTCGATGCTTGTTTAATTATTTTCTCATTAATCCGTTAATTGGCTATACGTTGTATTGTACCGTTTAGAAGCAGAACGAGAGAAGAGAAACATAGATAGCTGGGTATCATCAGAATAGCAAAAAAGAATCTGCTATTATTGTCTGATTGAAAAAAACAACAACTATTTTCTTCTCGGCTTCTTTTTTTTTTTTATATCTTTGACGTTTTCAAAGACTATATTCATGTCATAAAAAGAACTTTTTCTTCTTCATCATCCTATTTACTAAACTTGATAATACTATGGACAAATGCTATTGGCGTTACTGGTAGGTATCAATCTCATTATCTCTTTCTCTTTCTCATCACTTCATCATCTTCACATATAAGAGATTGATTACATGAGAATAAGAAACGAAAAAAGAAAAAAAAACGATATAAATACAACGGTACACAAAACTCAATTCTTCTATCTATTTGTGTCTCCGTCGTATAGAGGAAGTATACACATAGACTATTGACATAAACGCATATGCACATATACATTCAATTTAGTCAACCAAATTTTCATCGTTATTTGTTTAAACAATACGAATGAAGACGAAATTCGGTCGTCATATCTAAGAAGAGCTCATATGATGGCGCGACAGCACGTTACGATGAATGAACAAATGTAAAACCTATGCTACGTCATCCATTCGAAGGTGTATGCTAATCTTTGTACTTGAGCATGTATGTGTAGAAGCTGGGTGAGTGAATATAATATAAGGGATCAAAGTAAATAAAGAGAAAAAAAGTAAAGCAGAAGAAACACAAACGAAAATATGCAGTAGTAACGGTTACTTTTCTTTTTTGTTACTCACTCTCTCTCACTTTCTCTCATTATTCATCTTTCTTTTCTCTCAATGTATAATGTATGTCTAGGTATACGTAATGTCGATCCTCCATAACTTTAGTGATTGAGATGATGAGGATGAAAATTCGAGGACGTGATCAACTGCGAGACATAACAACAAGTAAGCTTGACATTTTCTTGTAAATGTAACAATGACACTCGCATTGTTCTTTCATCAACTACAAACATCTATATTGATAATTGTCATATGGTCTGATAGAAAATACATATGTAGTATTTTCTGTTCGAAAATCAAAATATTTAATGCATAAATTTGTTTTTTTACAAATCTAATTTTCTATTACTTTCATTTTTTTCTCATTCTTGAGTATTATTGGTGGTCCAAGATTATAAAACCGTGATTTATTCTCATTGGACTCTTTTTCTTATCTTTTTTTCTCTATTCACACTACGTAGAGTGCTACATGAGTATTAGAAATTGGATATTCACTCGCTCTCCCGCTCTCCTTTTCTTTTTCTCTGTCTATGCCACACGCTCGTTCGATGGTTCGACTGCGCGCACCGCTATCATTCTTATTATTGTATAAAAATGCAAATATGCGAATGTGTAAGAGAGAGAGAGAGAGAGAGAACGAGCAAGAGAAAAAAACTGAGTTAGTTCTATGTGTGAATTTCTCTTGCTGTAAAAAGAGACCATTTTGTTGGAAGTATAGTTCTTCTATCGTGTACTTTCTTCTTCTTCTTCTTTTTCTTCGCATCTCATTTTTTTTTCAATCAAACTGATTTTGACCTTTTTGAATAAATGGTATTTTCATTAGATTTATAGTCTTTCACATACATACGCCCTAAAGTTGTATGATCTATTCACAGCAACAAAATTTGTGCGCTCTTTAGGTAAGTGATCTTTCTTTTTCTTTGATTGCTTCGCTCATGTGATTTTGGCATCTGATGAATTATACCGATGATGGTGATATTTGTTCACATACACGCACACACATGCACAAAAATAAAATGAAATAAAATAAAATAAACAAATAAATTAGAAAAGAAAAGAAATACTAGTTTCTTTTGTAACACATCTAGATAGAAAAAAAAATGATGATGACATTATCATTGCCGATGTTAATAAAAAAAGAAGAGATAGTGACATTTATTTAGAATTTATAATAATCCTCTCTTTATGGCCAACAGTTATTATTACGAAACGGATGTTTCTTTTTTAATTTTATATGTTCACTTATTTATGAAAGATGATAATAATAAAATTACATTATTATCGAAAGAAAAAAAAATCTCGATTAGTCTAACAATATTTGACTACTAATTTTATTTCTTCTCTATTAAAAGTTCTAGTTTTATTACCCATTTTTTTTTGGATAGTGTTCTCTTTTTGTCGCTGTTGAATATATTAAGTTGTATATGTGTAGCCACAAAACGAGAACGAGTATGAACGAAGACCGTAATCGATCATTCGTATTATATGTTCATAATGAACGAACAGGATTGGATAAAAATGATTACTATTGTCCAATCATATTCATTGCCGTTGTAGTCAAATTAGCATTGTTGTGCAGTTGAAGTAATCGATGTATTGATTATGAAAATCTTTTATTCAAATAAAGATTTTCTTTTATAAAAAAAAAAAAAAAGGAACATAGAATAGAAAGATATATCCTACCGTTAATAATACGAGCATTGAAGATGACGACTGTCTCTTCTCTATATGTATATACTTGTGTTCTAATGCTGAACTTTCGGAGCGCTATTCACTGATATTTAGAAGCGAAAAGTCAATGTATTATCAATGAGAATATCGTCTCGTTTTTTTTTTCTTTTTTTTTCTCTCTCTTTATTCTCAGTAGCCATTGCTTATGTGTACAACGATAAGGTCGCGTCATTTCTAAAAATGTTAAACATTCTTTTTATGCCATTTTCGGCACACGCCCGCCCGCTGTTGTCATCATCATCGTTGCGCGACACAAAAGGTTAGTTATGTTTAATTTCTCTATTTGTTTGCGATGGACACCCAAATATATATACTTGGACATAAAAAAAAAATGTCTGAGAAAGAAAAGAAAAAAAAATTAGATATATACATATGACCTTTTTTTTCCAAGAAATAAGGGAAAAGTGTACCTGTCAATCATTGACACGTGTTTTTAGTGGCGGCAAATTTGTTTTTTTTATTGAAATGATCCTCATGTAAATGATCACTACATGTGCATGTATATATATGTTACTCCATCTAATGAAGTTTGAGAAGTGTGCGTATGTTTGTCGGCATTCACTTTTTTATTTTATGGCTCTGATCTTCATGAAATAATTATAAAAATATTGAATTAAGATGAACAAATGTAGTAAACTGAGCACTTGCTATCTACTTATCTATATATAGATAGATTTAGTAAATCTTTTCATTCTATGAACTCTTCCGATACATATGTATATAAGATATAGACAATGACGAATGATCATCTAATTGGATTTGGGAGAAAAAAAAACGAGAATGTAGAATCAATTTGTCGTCACATAGAAATATATATAAGAAAATGATTGTTTTATTTTGTGATCTTGTCTATGAGATAATTCATTGGTTGTTTTTTGTTTGATCTTTCTTGTTTTCTCATTTATCATCCGGATGTTCAATTCTTTGTAATGACAAGACACTGGTTGTTACACTTCATCTTATATCTACGTGTTGTCCCTTTCGGATATCCTATGCAAATCATCATCATCATCATCATCAAACGTATGCGTACGCTGTCAATCAGTTAGTTAGTGAAATTAGCTGCAAGATGTTTAGCTATCATCATCAATAGCAGTATTGTGTAGTTTTTTCTTTTATTGTATAGAAAAGAAGAAAATCTGGAAATAATTTAAGATCAGGAGTCTATATTTTTAATGAATGCGGAGGCGAACACAACACGTGTTCGAACTGTCAGAATCAACAACGGGAGACTCGCATAATGTAAACATACAAAAATAGACAGACTAAAAGGCTTGATCAATTGTAAGCAAAACTCTAATTAACTCAAAATTATAAAAAGAAAGAAAGAAAGAAAGAAAGAACATAGTAAATTGGAAAGTGATGATAATGATGAGCATGAACAGTAACATGAGTTGAGATAAGAGAATAATCATGTATGCTTATGTTAAATGCCATATACTATATCCGGTTATGTTCGTTAGTCGACCTTTTTGTAATTTATACACGCGAATTGAGTTACTAATGAAGATAAAAATTATTAAAGAAAAGAAAATGAATTTTATTGAATAGAAAAAAAAGTTATTTTAATTAAACAATTTTTTTTTAAACGAAATAAGTCCTTTTTTTTCTAGTGCTCGTATCATGAATACAGGCAATCTTGGCATGAGTGGACCGGGTATGGGTGGTCCCAATGATCCATATAATCCTCATCATTTAACTCAACATCATCATCTTCTTCCACCTCATCATTCACAACATCCATCATCAATTTATTGTTCATCATCGAATCCTTATACAGATTTATTTTCTCCTTTTACGGATTTTGTAACATCTCACGATAACGGTACGAATACAAGTGTACCAACGGGTTATCTTAATTTACAAAATTCACTTGATTATGGTATTTCACATAATCATCAACAACAGCATCATCATCATCATCAGCATCAAATAGCTAGTTCATCAAATGGAGAGCGGACATCATCATCATCTAGAATTAATGGTATTAATGGTTCTGATTCTTCACCATCTCATTCATTTGGTACAAGCAATGGTTATTCGCCATCAGTTGATTATTATAATAATACAGTTTTAACTTCAAAAACTAATCTTAATAATATTAATACATCAAATACAAATACAAGTAATAACAACAACATATCAACAAATACAAATATTCATAGTCCATATGATAGTACATCAACAGCAAGTACATCATCACCGCCTCATTCAACAGGTTATTTAACTACAACAATAAAACAAGAAAATATGATGCCTCCTTCGTTTGCCATCGATCCGCATAGTAATTATGGTACTTGAAAAAAAAAAGATTTTTTTTTTGTATAATGAAATTAATTTAATTGGATGTTGTTTTTTTTTGATTTAATAGTAAATGTCAATGGAACAACATCGGCAACAAGTACTGGTACAAGTGGTAATAATAATAGTAATAACAATTTCGGTCTCGGCGTCGATGATTATGGTTCTTCATTATATCATCCATCGGCTACTAGTACATATTCATCTTATTCACCAACAGGTCTTTTACAAACATCATATTCAGTTGGACCCTATAATGTTCCTCATCCCGATCATATGCGATTGTATAGTTCACAATTAAAACCTGATTTTAGGTAAATAAAATAATATAAAATTTATTTATCATAAATTTTTTTTTTCATATAGAATTGATATGCGTTTAGTCGGTAATCAACGAGCTTCACCAAATGCTGATGTGTCACCATCACAATTATGTGCTGTTTGTCAAGGTAAATAACTGAAAAGAAAAAACTGCATAAATAATTTTTAATACAAGAATAAATATTTCCTATATAGATACAGCTCAATGTCAGCATTACGGTGTTCGAACTTGTGAAGGTTAGTTGAGATTATGTTTATTATTTATTCTTTTAATCTGGATTTTTCTTTTTCTAGGATGCAAAGGATTCTTCAAAGTAAGTTAAACTTTATTATTCAATAAAATAATCGATTTATATCAGATAAATAAATAAATAAATATAGATCTATACGTTATATTTTTCTTTTATTCTATTTAGCGAACAGTACAAAAAAATGCTAAATATGTATGCTTAGCAGATAAAAATTGTCCAGTTGATAAACGACGTCGAAATCGTTGTCAATATTGTCGATTTCAAACATGTCTTGCTGTTGGCATGGATAAAGAAGGTAAAACAAAAAAAGAAAAAGAATGTTTATTCATTCTTTGTTTTTGTAAGCAGTCTGCAGAAATTTGAAAATATTAGGTTAGAATTAGAATTTTATGTTTTTGCCGAATATGGTTTCAAAAATTTTATAGAACTTTTTTCTAAGAATCATAAGCTGACTTTTTTTTAGACACAAAGGTTATTTCAAATACAGCGAATGAATGTACAAATATTTCTCAATAAAATAGTATATTTAATGACTAGCTACTTCTAAGTCATTTATCAACACCGAGTGTTTTGGTATATGGGATATCATGACAATGGAGGCAATCGTTTTATCGATGTCTATGGAAAACAGACTTGCAAAGGGAGTTCGAGTTTTCCTGAATGCTTGTTCTAAAACTCTTGATTCTTATCGCTCGCATGGTTGGGTAACTACGATGTTCAACACGTATTTGCAAGATAGTGTGTTCAAACTTCGATATCATGCGTTAGAGAGTGATTCTGGACAAGTTATTAATGGCTGTTTGTCTTGAATCATCCGTCCGACAGCAGGCTAACTACATGGCAACATATATCTATTCTTGTGACTATTATATGGTTAACTAGTGTATATTAGGAATTCAAGCAATGGAGTGTGAGAACTCTGCATCAGGCTGGCCTTCTGTCCAGACCTACAGCTACCACTAGTTGTAGAAAAGATATCGAACTACTGAATCTGTTACTAGATGATATCTCACGCAGCATGATTGCCAAAAGACAGAGAGATTCTTTCTTTCTTGATTCTTATATGACTTCATAGAGATTAATTTTGCATTTAATTCTATAAAAAAAAATTAGTAATATAGCGTATACAGTAAAGAATACTATAGAAGCAAAAAAAATGTCAATTTTCTCCGTCCAAGTTTAATTTTCACGCTTATTTAAAAGGTCGGCTTACTAACTTCTAAGCTAGGAGTCTTGCAGAAAATTTGAACTCATATTTAGCAAGAACACAAAAATTCTGATTCTAATCCAACGCTTTCAAATTTCTGCAGACTTCTTAAAGAGAATGAAAAAAAATAAAATACTTGACTAATGTTTTATTTATTTTATTTAGTTGTTCGAACAGATGCATTAAAAGGTCGTCGTGGTCGTTTACCATCAAAACCTAAAAGTCCAAATAATCGACAACCGAATAGTTTTCAAACACAATTTTGCCGTTTCTATAATGATTCCATACCAAATCCGGCCAGTCTTGATTTTAGCAAATTGAATGTAAATTTATCATTAAAATACATACTATTGAATTCTTATTCTTTTTTGTCTATTTTTTTTCTCTTCAGTATCGAACAGTGACAAGTAAAGAAAGTTTATGTGAAGAAAAATTACTTGTTTACGATTCTTTATCGCGTTCATGCGATATAATCAAACAATGGGTTGATAAATTTTCATTATTTTATTCAATACAAAATAATGAACGTGATCGTCTTTATTCAAATTGTTTATTAGAACAAGTTATATTTCGTTCAGCAGTACGTCTTGATGGTGATCGTGTTATATTATGTTCAGGTATTGTTTTACATAAAATACAAATGAATTATTTACTTGGTGATGTTGCACAACAAATCTATGATTATGGATCAACATTAAAACTTCATAAAATTGATTCAATTGTTGCAGCTACATTATCATCAATTTTATTACTTGATTCAAATAACACAGGTAGAAAAAGAACAGCAAGAAATTTTATCGGAAAAAAAAGAAAGAAATTTTTTTTTCTTTTAAGATTATGTTTATCATCAAACACCATTATCATCGATAGTTACTGAACTTTATCAAAAACTAGTTGATTCATTCAAAGATTATTTAAAACAACAATATGGAGATAGTTCAATATATTTACAATTATTAGAAAGACTTAATGATGCTAGACGTATTGCACATAATTTAAGAAAGCGTTTATTATTTTATCGACATTCAGTTTGTTTAACCAATTCAATGAATTCGTATCTTGATTTAATGTATGTGTATTCATTATGAAAGATTTTTTTTTATTATACAAAACTAAGAACGAATTATGTTTTATTTTTCTTTATTATTATTTAGACTTGAATGTAAACCGATATCAACTGATTTACATTCAACCGAAGACACTTCAACGTTACCATTTATACAATATGATCTATGACCAAGTTTTCATTTGATTATTATATACAAGTATTAATTTAATCCATAACCATCATCACCGATGTTCTTCAGTAGTTATTTAAAGTCATATGAATCACACATGTTTTTTTTTTGTCTTCCATAATTCACTTCTACACCTATTTTTTGATTGTCTTTCGTTCCTTACTGGTTTATTGTACAGCACTATTCATAATGATGATGATAACAATGACTGAGGGACATTTAAACATATTGTATTTTCTGTCTTCTATTTCTCTCGGTCTTCTCTATACACATAATCCTGTCATGTGTACCATCATTATTAAATGATCGATTTGTTCTTAAGCTTAGAAACAACCTTTTGTGGTCATCGTTGTTTTCTTTTCCTATAATTTCGTCATACATATGGAGATTGCTTTTTCTTCTTTTCTTTTTTTTTTCTATTAACTATTATGCGCGATGATAAATAAATTCAATAAAAAAAATCCGGAAAATTCGATTGTATTCGTTCGATTGTTCTATTATTATTATTCGTCGAGATCTTTTTGTTAATCAAACTAACAAAAAAAAAATAATTTGCATGTATTTGAAAATTTTAAGCTTGATTTAGTCATTTTTTTATTAGTTGGGAATAAAAGTTATTTCAATTTGACTTAATTATTGATCTTTCGCAATGAATTTGATAAATTTTTTACCTGATGCAAATAAAATTATTCGTTATCGTTATCATGTGCACTTTATTCGTGAAAAGAGATTAAAGGAATACAATTTAAATGATGATGTTTAAAATGTCGAAAGTATACTGCACTTTGTGATTTGACTATATTTCTTGTATTGACTATTAATCATTTGGTAAAAATATAGGTAGCATTTCGTTTGAGTAATTAATTAAGAGACTTTAAAAAGACCAAAGAGAATTTCGTTTTTGTCTCTTATTTATGTACATTGAAAAACATTGAATAAATCTTTAGAAACCGTCTAGCGACAACATACAATCTATTAAAGAAATCAATTATCAATGGTACCACCGAATAAGCTTGATTTAAGTTAGTAACCTTATTTACAATTAATAGAAGGATTAAACATCATGCATGTAATAATTATAAATGATATTTTGTTCAGTAAATATTTTCTATCTTTTATTATACTATCATCTCGTTCTACTCTATCACATTGATTTACGTGTGTTTTCTCTTTATCTCCACTAGAATTAATCACATCAGTTCAAGATCAGCAATAATTGTTATGTAAATTAGAAAACAGATTTGTCATTTTCAAAAACTAAATGTTTCCTGCTAATATTCGATAAAGGAACGCAAAACATGTTTGCTTCGTTGCACATATATGTACACTAACGTGATTTGTGTGTTTTTCTTATGTATATCGTATATGTTGAATGCACATTGATAATTATTGTCATGAATATGTTGATCGAAATGTTACCAATGTCTTCATATATACTCGCAAGTGTTTTGAATAATAAAAAAGATGAAAAAAAAAACGAGACAATTTAATCTTTCATTCTTTTGATTATCATCTTGATGCGTTTATTAATTTCTCCTAAATTTGTCAAACTATATGAATGTGAATAATGTCAAGAAAGAAAACAACTTGTCGGCAGTTAACCTATTGATAATGCCATTATCAATGTCATACTCTTTGATAAAGGAAATAGTGTTTTGTTGATTGGTATCGTTCACCAATCAAACAATATGTGTATGTAAACACACAGTAATACCTTCAGTCTTTCTAATAGGATTGATGTGTTGTTTAGACTCATCATCGATCTGGTTACAAATGCTCTTTATTCGATATGACTACAAATACATATGGAAGCATCATGATAGAGAGAAAGAAAACAAAGAAAAGCATGAAAGAGAGAAGTTTGCATCAACATAATTACTACGAATGTTAGATCGTCATCAGAATAATAAAGATATAGCTTGAAGGTTTCATTTGTATTGCCAGTTACAATTGATCAAGCTATTTTGCATCTCGTACTTCTACTTTTGTATTCTCGGCATCGACTGTAGTATGGTATGTGTATTTTTCTTGACTTACACGTTTGCTTAATTTTATAAAAATGTAACAATCATGTAAGACTGAGAAAATAACACAGTAACAGATGTTACTGTTAATTATATAGTATTCTGAAGGAACAAAAAGTGTCTATGTGAATACTGTGTCGGTATCTAGCCGATAAAAATAGATACAAATTGCTTAAAATATACGCAAGATTTATTGTTCTAGAAACAATCAACGTATGACGAAATGAAAGAAAATCTTGCTGAAGAATTTGAAGTTGACGATGAAACAATAAAAAAGACATCATTTTCAATCGTTGAGGCTACTATGAGCAACCGAAAACCTTTAAGAACACCAAAATATGCTCGTTGTCGCAATCATGACGTTGTATCTCGTCTAAAAGTATCAAAGCATACAAATTCAATATCTATTTGACAATTTTTTTCTACGGACACAAAAAATATTGTCTATGGCGTGATTGTACATGTGCAAATTGTTTGTTAGCTGTTAAAAGACAACGCATTATGACAGCACAAGTAGCTCTTCGTAGATATATATTTTTAACTTTATTTTCATAAAACAAACTATATTATATAGTACTTTTTTTGATTCAATAATTAGACAAAAAGCACCAGCCGATACAAATAGAAGAACAAAAATGACAAATATTAAAAAATACAGAAATTCAGCTTCATTTCTTGAACAAAAACGATTTTATCTACAAGAGAATTTGCGATAAATACACAAAATTTCAGTAATTCAAGATATTATTAAAAGTGAGATATTTATTCTATCATAAAATTCATATATCTTGTTTCTGTTGAAATTCTTTTGAAAAAAGTGTCAAAGCAAAAAACTATAAGAGTAAAAAAAAATGATATCAACACATTTTTAATGACGACAAATCCACTTCTCAATGATCAATTACGAAAGCGTAGATGTTTTGCTGACAAAGAATTGGATAATATTTCAGCTTCCACATTAACCATCAAGACTCTGCTGTCATATAGAGCTTTTCTTGTAACTAGTTTATCGCATTTTCATACATATAAGTTTCAAGAAGAAATAAATCTTGAGAAAAAACCAACTCGAAAGAGATGTACAGATTTTTCAGTAGCAGCTATCATTGGTATATCTACCACTATTCCATCCTCGCTCCGATATTCACAACTGTTTCAACAATTCTTTTAATAAAAACTGTTCTGTTCTTTCAAAAAAACTTTTCAAACAAACTGACCTAGCTCAAAAAGCCTTTTAATCACCTCACAATAATGAAATTTCTTCGGTTTCACCCTCAGCCTTACCAAGTGCGGCATGGTTACACTTTGACTAAAAAAAAACAACGAGTGATCCCATTTCTAGCAACTTAATTCCATGTAGGATCTTCAATTATTCAAAATATAACACGAGCATAGTTGACAGAAAGAGAATTGGACATTGCACACAACTCTCGAAAATAGTAACGGTCACTGAACTCAATTCTGAAAAAAAGCTGATCAGTGCACTCACCTCTCAACGATGTAACTGACCAAATGGGCACAGTTCTGGAAAAATCGACTCAAAATATCAGGAACATTAGAACGTCTACTATGACAATCAAAATAAGTCATAAATTATACTTGTATGAATACACACACGTAAACATTTTATGGGTTATATATATTTTGTCTAATCTTCAACATTGTTGAATTTAACTTATTATATACTTCTATTCATAGAATAACAGTTAAATCAATATCTTTTTTTCTGTTCAATATAGTTAATTTTTAAACTTTTATTCATAAAATCTACTACAAACTATTCAACATCTTCCTATTAACGAATCGATTAATCAGTGTTTTTAACATTAAGGACCCCAAACAACAAAGGCAAAGTATCCAAGGTACTTACGCTTTTGTAAAAGTATTGTAATTTGTCATTCAAAAAAAAACATACTACCTTAATTGTACTTTGTAAAAAACAAAAAATACTTTGCTCATTTATAACGCCATTATTTAGAAGTTGCTCGTCTTTCTTTTGTTTAGATCTCTTACTGTAGTTGTAGATGAAGCTAAAAAACATGTATTTTTCTTTAAGTATTATCGAATTCATTATTATTGAAATTTCTTTTCATGAATAACTTCTTCATTTACTCTTGTTTGTTGTTCTTGTGGGATTCTATACTTATTATCCGCTGACATTTATTCGAAGAAAACATTTATATGCTCCTAACATTATTATTTATGTCGATGTGTATTGAAACAAAATCAGCTTAAGTTGCCGATTGTCCGTATACTCGAGACTATCATTGCTTTATGGACTTCAAACCAATCTTTCAATTGAAGCATTGTTCAATATTTATTTTCATTGTGTTTTAACCAATTGAAGCCGGACTTTTTTTAATAAAAGAACTAGAAGGTGTAAATTGCAGAATTGATAAGGAAAAGAAATTAGTGACTTTGAAATACTCATCGTACTGGACACAATATCATAAGCATTGTTATATCTCTACCTTTCGTGTTGACCATGATAATGCACAGACGATAAATCAAGAGTAAAAAGCTCTTGTCCAAGGCCAATTGCTTCGAAATAACTTGCCGTTGAATTTGATATTCCATTACCCTATCGTTCAACTTTAGCCTTTAGATAGACCTATGTTCATTCCAAACCTATAACACGACATGGAAGACTTGTGAAAAGGCGTAAGTAGGTGAAATTCCACGTATTCATAAGTCTATGGTATTGCGATTTCAGACAGGATCTATAAGTAGAAGTGTTCATAGTTTTCTCTTTCTATATATATTATTATTCCAGTACTTGAGGAAAAAATTGACTTATACAATACCTTTCTGCGACTCTTTTTTATTTAGAGAAAAACAAGTCTGCTATAAAATGAAGAAAATAAAAATACTACTTTCATGCCGCATCATATTGATCGGATCGAATAATGATCTCTGGCACTGCTATGGCTCTATGGTACTAAGGAAATGTGCATGAACAATCTTCAAAACGGATTATCGAATTGATCAAATATCAAAAACTGCTTATCAACAAAAGGAATCTGAAGTTTTTCTAGATAAGAATTGTATTGGCTTTAGTTAATTCATTCAGTTTAATAGAGTTGATTCAAGGCAACAATGTGAAATAAGATAAGAAGCTAATTGCAAAGGAGAAGATTACGTAGGCGAAGAACGCTTTTTTTCCTCGGTCACAATTTCATATCAGTATCTTCATATGAATCAGTACAAACTTGATGCCATTTTCTCAGCATATGGCTTCACTCGTCGAACAAGAAAAAAGCATTGTTCGATTTTTTTTTCGCTATTGGTGCTTATGCGGAGGGAATTCTGTAAGAAGCGGTATGAGATTGTAGTCACAGTGAAATCGAAGCTAATAGACTAGTTGAACAAGTTACGAGCATGTAGAGAGAAGCCATCTTGTGAAGCAGTCATGATCTGCACTCAACTATAAACACGTGAAAGGTTTTTTATATAGTGTTCTCCGTACAGCTTAACATGAAGGAGATTATTTTAAGTTAGACACTTGAATGTCTTTGCTTTATTATTCGAAATTATTTATATTTTTATAAGGAATTTGCTGGAACTGTGCATCGAGAAGTTAACTTGTAATAAAAAATGATTGAAACATATAGATAAGTTGTAGGTATGTGGCATACTTAGCCTAGTTTCATATCAACAAGTAAGAATACAAACATGGTTGTGATTCACGGAAATACTTTATTCATCATTGCAATCACCGTTGATAAATATGATTATGTGGTGAATGTTTTGTGATGTACCAAAAATTTCATAATTTTCAAGAGAAGAAGAAGCTCTTTTACTTGCGAGTGAGTCCCCTTTCAAATCGTGAATGTTGTTCAAAATTCATCAAAACAAAAATGCTATTGAAATAAAAATTTGACTTGAATAGCAATCAATGGATACATATTGATCTAAAATGAGAAACGAATTGCTATTGTTTGAGTTTCATTGGATATTAGATCCTTTCAAGTAAACATTCTACAAATTTTATATTGTAAGATCACTTTATTTTACAAGTATATTCTGAATTACAATTTTATTAATTTTTTGTTTCTATTTTGAAAATCAATTTTAAGATGAACGATGCTTTTGTGTTGATTGAATATTATTAGTTGGACTGGTATAAAAAATATTATTTGTACGCATTCTAGGATTATTATGGTGTGATTTTCTAAAGAAGTTTTTGAGTTCTCGACGAAAACCACAATTTGAGATAATTGATATATAGAAACTAGAAGCAAAAAATGTGTAAGACAGTAAGTGAGTTAATTCAACAAAGATGCTTTCTTGAGCATTCTGTAAAGCTGATTTTGGCCAATCTTCAGTGATATTTTTATAGATACGTTCAGCTGCATATGGTATAAATGTCAGTGTAGCAATGATTGATTGTAATATAAGCATAAATGTAAGTCGGGAATCAATTTGTTGAAGAACTGATCGACATGGAATGGTTACCGATGGTCGATTATTACTATGACTGATTTTCCGTTTAATAACATTTCGCACACTTCGTATTAATAAATAAGCAAGTACAATCATTACTAAAGGTGGATATATTGCTTTAAAAACTACTTCCATACAATTATCAATATAAGCGTAAAGTTTTAATGAAGGAGCACATTTTCCATTTATAACATTATATAAAATAAGTCGATGACCAATAAATAATAGCCAAAAGACTACGCATGTAATGCACATCTTGTAAGCTAGTGTTACACGATTGCTCCACTGACGATATACTTAAATGAGAAGAAAAAGTATAAAAGCTTTGTTTTCAAGCAAAATATAATTTCACCACCGAAATGAAAGTTTTCCGACAAAAATAAAGATTTTCGTGCTTCACAATATGCACAGAGTCATGAGAAGTGCAAGCAAAATACTTATTTATATTAATTTAAATAAGAACGAGTCTCAATTTATGTCTACTTAGAAACCGACTGCTTGAGATGTAATAACAAATCTTTCGTGAACTTCTCTTCTTCGAAGAAGAAGCAGCGCAGGGGGAGGGAGAGGGAAGATGACGATTATTTTATATTCCTTAAAAAAGAAAATACTAAATATTTAAGCAATATTCAATGTCAGAAGATATGAATGAGTGTTGAATTTCGATAATTTGCCTTGCCTTAAATGACTGATATAACACTGGATGATTATTTATACGAAAACATTTTCCTTGTTAAATATCGAATCAAAGTAATTACATCTAGAGTTCAATATTTACAATTATAAAACTACGACAAAAAATCGAGTCGATTCTTTTTTATATCGGCTTATAGCGAGTTATTTAAAAGTTTTTAGACAGTGTTTGTTCGCTTTTGACCTGCTATAAAGAGGAATGTATTGACATCTATAATTTGAGTATTGAGATTCTAAGCCTAGCTATTAGGGTATTCACCTAATGAATTCGTGGTATCTATATGCCGCCAAAATTAACGATTATGAGTTGATTTAATGCAATGAGATGCATACCCACCGTGACATCCATATATCTCCAAAGTTCAGGAATCACGTTCGGGGGTGTGAGAGTAAATCTTATCTTGATCTTCCTCCTGGAAACGTGCAGTTACTCTCATACCCCACATACATCACCACCACATTTACATCCAACATTCTGACCTATAATCGTACCAAAAACCTACATTTATACCTACACTCCACACTCATACCAAGTTCACTCAAAGCCCTCAACTCTGAGGACATATGAGTATTGAGTACACTATCTGCTCTGTTAAATATCCTAACTTGTAGCTCATTGTTAGCCAGTGTAGAAATACTATGACAATGCCTGCATATTTCATCTCAATTTCTGTTCGAGATTAGTGAAATAATCTTTGAAAAGTCCAAAAAATTAGTTTGGATGAAATTTGTAGGCCAACATTTCCAGTGAACGTGTTTGTTCGTTTATACCTGCTTAAAGTATTTCGAACGACCCAAAAGCTAAATATCGTGATCACAATTTCGTGCCTTTTCTGAATATAAGCCTAGAAATGTTATGATTATTTTTTGTTCTAGAGTAGTGAGAATCTTTTTGACAAACCTGAAAAATTTACTTTTAATGCTGAACCAACAAGTTTTTGTTCACAGTATAAGTCTCTTTTCGAACATGCTATAAACTGTCGGAGTCGGCCAATTCTCAGAATGAACACTCCTCTATTTCAAGATCATTTCATTCATTACTCTCAAACAAAAACTGAAACAAAATTTCTAAGCCCATATTTGAAAAAAGCACAAAATTCTGGTCCTAACTCATATCTTTTTTTGTTCGTCGAAAATAATTTCAAGTGAGTCAAAAAATAACAAATGTCTTGTCGATAAACTTTATAATCATTCGTTATAATTTAATTGATTTTCTTCATATACTGTTGCTAAAAATATATAAAATCATTAAATCTTAATCTTCCAATATCTTAATTTAATAGGCATGTTATAGAGGAAAACCGTCTAATATCCAATTAGGTGATGTTTATTTCTACTTACTATTCGAACGTTGTGTAGATAAAAGTCGATCAATAATTGCAAATGAAAACAAACTAAACGAAACTTGATTACTCCAAATCGAAATAAATTGTCGGAGTTTGCAGATGATATTGTAATTTGTAGTAAGTGGAATTTGAAATCCTTGTTGAAGTATTCGTATAATCAATCCAAAATTGAAATATAAGAAATCAGACATTGCTTCTGCTAATAGATAAATCGAATAAGCCTGCTTTCGAAAAGCGGGAGAACGAAATACTAGCATATTTCCAATACAGCCGATATTACCGGCCAACCAAATAAATGAACCAAACCAAATGTTCAGCTGATAAGGTGCAGCTAAAAGAGCACTGCTAATATTGCTTGATGTAGTATTCATGCTTTGTAGATTGATAAAAGAAAAACTCTATTCTTCAATTGTCTTACTTGATACTGATGAATAGAAAGTTTTTTTCTATTTGTCTTTACTAGAAAAATACATCTCTAATAGAATCTATTAAATTTTTTCAACATTAAAGAATATGTTTCAATTATTTTTTATCACGACAATGTCATACAGTATTTTATACTGTGACCTTCATTCATATATAATTGATGGCGATAAGCCCACCGAGGGTTTATTTTTAACAATTTTATGACTTTCAGAATAAATTGTCAATGATGTTTGACGAAGCATTCAATCAAATTAACTAATGAACATTTTAAAAGATCTATTTCAAGAAACAAGTTTTTGTCGTAGTTTGTGATAGAAATTATTCATGCAGAATGACTTTCTACTTTTTATAGATATATGTGCACCTGTACCTTGTAGCATTTGTTTTTCGCTCTGGGAGTCTATTATTACACTCTGAAGCGCTTACGATATAGAGATACAAGTTACAAAAGAAAAATAAGATTTTAAATGCGAAGAAAAGGATACTAAGAATATCGTAATTAACCGACTAAGCAACTGCCGCAACGTTGTGACATGATAAAGTAGGATAAAAGGGAAAAACAACAAGGGAAAGAGTAAAAACCAAACGAAGCCAAGGTATAGATATTGTGAGCTAAAGTATATCCTTGCATTGTTTAAGCTCGCTCTGTTAGAATCTCTTGTCTTCAATCGATCCAAAAAAGTTATATCATTCAGCAATGGTGAGGATACGAAATTCGATCTCTACATTTCGCTAAGTCTCCTTCGAATGAATTTTTTCACATAATGATCCAAGTCATTTTCTTTCGTGAATTTATATAGTTCATATGCTGCCATTCAGTGGCAGTGATGTACTAGTCTTGAGCCTGTTCTGAATTGCCGTCCTAGCAGTTGTTGTTATATGACCAGGAGAAATGGAAAGAGACAGAAAAACCAAGCAAAAAACGGAAATAAGTATGCAAAAAAAGCATTCTCGCATAACCTCGGTAGAGATCACTCTGCCGCGTCTCAGCTGCTGTAATTTCATATAAGATTACTGCACCTTTTCTAGACAGTTGACAACTGATTTATATTTGGACAGCTTGCTACTCCATGTATATTCCAGATATTTGAATTCATTTATCCATTTGAGTGGTGTATTATTCATCGATATTGGTAATGATCGAAGGTTAACACTTGTGAATGAAAAACCTGATTGACACTTTTGTCTATGTTTATCGGTTGTTTTGACCTACATTCATATTAACACAGTCTATTACACGTCTTCAAACCCTATTTTTCTAAGAATTGAAGCATTGGTTCGAGTTTTTTCTCAATTGGAACTGTAATCAGTACATTCAGATCATCTGCGAAAATATGTGCAGAAAAAGCACTTGTACACTGTATTAGGTTCGCATGATATACTGCTAATAAGTATGAACTTATGGCACTATCGTGTGCGAGCCCAATACATATTTGAAACTCTTTGGTTTTCGTCTTCTCGAAAAGAACAAAAGTTCTTTGCACAGTAAACTAGGATTAAACAACTATCAACAGAGGACTCGGCATTTCAAATCGATGTAATTTAACAAGTAATGTAGTGTGTCAAATCCTGTCATAAGTCTTCTTGTATTCAATACACACCGATATGGCAGGCACATTCGCATCCAAATTGTTATGAACCTCTTGTAGGACAGACAAAACTCTTGTGGAAATTCAGTAATTTGGTCGAAACTCGGATTGTTCCGCAAGAACAATGTTTGTCGACTCCGCCCAACTTCGAATTTATATCAGCAATATTTTCTCGAACAGTTTAGAGTGTGTCGCCAAGATAAATATTGGGCGAGTTTGCTCAGAAGTTGGACTGCCTGTTTTTAACTTGTTAAATGTAATAGTCTTTATCTTTTTCCTTGTATCGGAAATCTCTCTTCGTCTAGCTAGAAATTGAAACACTGACAAAGGCAGTGCATGTATCTGCAAGGTAATAGCTTCAACATGAAGTTGAAAACGGAATCATATCCTGATGATATCTTGAATTTGAGAGATCTAACATATTTTTCTATCTCATATACACTAGTTGGCTCAATTCTTTTTTTGAAGAATTTGTAAGAGTTTTCAATATCTCTTGAAATTCGACCTCAATGACTGAATCATGCACGTGTTTACTATCAATTACAGGGGATTGAAACTGTTCTTCATAATAATTGTAGAGTTCTTTAGCTATTTTTTTCGTTATCTGCAATAACTGTATTGTCCACTCGTAGCTTAGCAAAGGGAAGTGTTTTTGACTTGTAGTATTTCTCCAAATGGGATCAAAAATTTATTTGATATCTATTCCTACTTTCTTGAATTTGTGCTAAAAAGCTAAATCACCTGTTCGAACGATATTCGAAGATATCGGCCTGTACCTCTCAATTCAATGTTCTTAGCAGAATTCTTTCTGCTTCATGGTCGATATCATATCTTCGTTTCTGGTAGTAGTTGTTCCTAACTACCTTCAAAACCTTCAGTTTCCTTAGAATGTACTGAGGTAAAAGCTGGTCGAAGCTTCTCTTTTTCTTTCTTTCTATGTTACTACTCGATTCCTAAGTGCACATAAAAAACGAATGTACAGTCTATATCAGTCATCTATGGGAACCTTTTCCTGTAGTTTCACCCAGTATTCTTGAAGTAAGCATAAAATGATCTTGCACTCTTTCCAATTTGTATGAGGAAAAGAGTTATGCAATTAGACATTAACTGCGTTCGATATATACACGATTGGCTAGTGGTTGCTGGTTCCGAATTTTATTGTTGGTTCTTGTATACACCTAACGTTAGTAAACAAAAGATCATTATTTCCTTCTGGACGTTTTGATGAATTAAACATATTTTTAACATGAACGAGATTCCTTGTGTTCATTCATTGTATACATTAGTTGTGCTTCATCTTTTCTCCTTTTTTTCTTTTTGCCGAGAATTTACTAAGTTGGTCATAGGTTATTTTAGGAGTGAAAGATATTGCTTCCTAAAGATGGAAATAACTACTCGGCACTTCTTCGTTCACATGTTTATCATATCTTTTGTTATCAGTACGATGATTCATAATGTTTACATAATGATCACCTTAGTAAACTTGTTTACTTAATTTATTTTTGAAAGGATAATCTTCCTGTAAAAGAACAAAAAGTTGTTCATTATGTTCAAGAATTTGAATTGGTTATTCCTTGTATACCCTTGTACTGGTCGATGCACCTACTAAGGATGTTAATCGATGATGATGATCATTTATATATTAATTGATATCTTTAACTATGAACACGTTGTCATCAATAATACCAATTCGGTGTTCATTGAAAGTAGTGTTTCTTTCATGTTTTCGAACGTTCATGATAGAACTCACTTACACAAAAGAAAGATCAGAAGGCAAAAAGATCTTTATCCGTCCCTTCCCTTGTAACAGACGAAACAAAGGGTGATAGCATGAATGAAAGAACGAAAAAAAATGTTCGATCACCATGTATGTAACGAATAGAATGACTCTTTCGTGTCTTACTTATTTTATGAATTATCAATGTCATTGGATCTCATAGATATTAAGTAATTTCTATCCTTCGTACATAAGAATCATTGGGAATTTCACATTTTTCCGTGTTCTACTTATTTTCACTAGTGATTTCGGTAGAAAAAGAAGATACAAGACATCATCTTCTTTTGTTAGATTATTTCGTAAATATATACCCATTGATTTCACTATAATCGCACAGAGTTGATTCACTACAATCCTTTAATTGACAAAAAATATAGTTTCATATCAGTATAATGACTTCGTTTATCATTTTATTTTGTCTCATAAAAGGCTTATTCTATTACTTATCTGACTTTTCTTGTTTAAAATAAACTATTTGAATCTTATTTTGCATTGTCCGAAGAATATCCAGATTAATCCTTAATTAAGATTATGACCTTATGATATAAGAGATTGCAAGGCTTCTTTTAGTTAAATTAAAACAGAATTCATTATGACAAAATTTCTAGAAAGCTTTTGAATAGCTATAAAATTCTGATGAAATTATTCTTATGTTCAAATTTTTAACGACAGAAATAATTCAATAAAACGACCTTTGAATTTAATTACCTATGGAGAGTAAAAGACTTTACAAGCGCTTTTCAATTAAATAATATTCATCATGAAACTTATACTTACATTTCTCAATGACTCAAGAATTTCTTTTCTCAAGATATTTAAAATGTTCATGTTTTATCGTTCCGTGCGGTTAAGCTTTGTTAAAAAAATTCATTAATTCATTATGAATATGAAATAATGCATAGCATGCATAAATTTCTATGCATCATTTTCTTTGATCGTGTCGATTATGTATGCATGCGCATTTATCTTGTTGTTAATAACAAAACAAATTGTTTCAGATACATTTTGATTATATTAAAGGAAAAGTTTGGACTATAATAGGAGATTTGATAGTCGTTCAAGTCAGAAAAGCGAGAAATGTGGAAATAAAATAGTGGCAAAAACTGAAAACAATGCGAAAATCTAATTTCTGTGAGTTCTTCGCATTTCTATGGATTTAAATAACTTGTTGCTATTTATTTTCCAAGTTGCACAACATAATAAACAATTCATAAAGAAGATAGATATTTCATTAAGCACATCATTTGAATGGATTTCGGTTCTCAATTATTTTTGAAACGAAAGTTGTTTGTGCATGTTCGTAGAAGAATGAAGTTTTTCAACAGATTTATATATCTACAACTATTGAGTCTAGTGGCATTCAATTTGNCAAATAAATTCTTTGAAGAAGTTTGGACAATTACAAGTGCCACTTTTCCATTCCGTTCCATCATTAGATAAAGTCACTTTCCATATACCGAATTGAAGAATCTTGAATTGATCAAAGGAGTTCCAGGTTTTTTCTTGTATTTTTGAATATCATGTTGTGTAATGTGTTGCGCTTCACCAGCTGGTATATAATAATCAATAGCACATTTTCGGCTCGATGGTATTTGTAATACCAACTTCAACGATTTAGCAAAATGATAAGCATCAGTCCATTTTTTTAATGTAATTGTTGGCTGTGATGAATAAATAATTGGATCTATTTGGTTTGGATCCCGAGATTTAGACCATCTACGTACGATGCCATTGGCTATTACAAAAAATCTTAATAATGGATGTCGTTCTCTAAACGTGTGCTCATCTTTGATCCCTCTGTTGGTTGCCTCTAATGAATTGTTAGTACTAGGTGTGAAGTAATTGTACCCTTCATACCAAGAAGAAAAATGTATGTGTCATACCAACATAAAGAATTCTTTTTAACTTAGATATTCGAACGTTGTTTTATTCGAAATTACTTAGTGATAATTTATATTTTACTTAATATTTTGATTTTTTTACTGTAATCTCAATTTATTAACTTAACAAAAAAATTACTTACTTAGGATTTATTTTTTTAACTTAGTGAATATTTTTTCTACTGAGAAACAAATTATTTACTGAGCATCCAATTTTTTTACTGAGCAATCACACAGTTTACTTAGCACTGATCTACTTAGCATTTCAATATTTTTACTGAGCAAATAATTTGTAGCCCTTGTTTTTTACTACAGAATGTCATCTCTAATTAAAAGCTTGTTACCGTATATTCTTCGTATGGTTGTAAAAGTATATGAAATTATCTGATAGGTTTAACCAAAACAAGAGATAATGACTTGAATATATGAGAAAATAAAGTCTGCAATGATAGTAGGACATGATATTTAATAGTTCTATTTCATTAGTAAAGTGAACTTTTAAGGGCAAAATGTGTATTGAATAGTCATGAAACATTTACGACGACCTAGAGAAATAAAATGAGCTTTCTTGTAGATCGATTCATGTGTAATCTAGATCTATAATGATCGTGGCTATATTAAAAACAAAAAATTTATTATATCAATATTGGTATCATAATTAATGTTAGTTATCAATTTTGTTCACTTTATTTTCTTATTCCTTTTTAGTACTCTTTATTTCAATACAACAAGCAACCCTAGATATTGCCATTGTTATTTATTACACATGACTATGATAATAATGCTGATCATGTAAATATGAAAACGATGAAATGAAAATCAAAGCATGATATGTGGGTTTTTTTTGAACAAAAGTTTCTCTTATCAAATGGAGAAAAAAAAATCATCAATCATCAGCACACATATTAATACAAGAAAAAAAAAAGGACATGAAATCGATAGACAACACACTTGAAAGACCTAAAGTATTGAATATATGTCATGTGTATATAACTGTAGATAACGAGAAAACACGAGATAGTCGTATTTACAATCACATATGATTCTCGCAATAAATAATAGAACAAGAAAAAAAAGAAAACGAACATTTCTAATCTAGTAAATAAAAATTATGAAGATAAAATAAAACACATCACCGAATCCTTAAAGAACCGGACATGAATACTTTCAATTATTAACAACAGTTGTAGATTGATTTTTTTGTTGATAATTATTTGTAATACGTATATGAAGATCAGTAAATATTTGTTCAATATATTGTTTTATATTTAAATCATGTTTGTCTGAACTTTGAGAAACCTTTTCAAAAAGAAAAAAAAACAAAGAAAAATTTGAATAATTTAAATAAAAATTAATTTTACTGTTGTATAAAAATTTTCTAATTCATTAAGATGCTTATGTAAATCATTAGCAAGATGATTTATTATTGTCATACGATGATCATTTGGAATAGAATTACTAAAGTAGAAGTGCAAAGAAGAAAAATTTTATATGCAGTGGCACGCAAAAATTAATCGTACACCTCAGCGATTGCTTGATTTTACTAATATCTCAAGATGCTTTCAACATATCGAGTAGAAATGCACAGATTTACCCTGTCTGTACCTGTAGAGTAAGATATAAGGGTTAGAAAATATTTCCCCGTCAAGGTAGGAAAAAAGCTCACCCTGTACATCTTTAACGTCATGCTATTTTGCTAATTATCACTTTTAGAGTCTTCAAATTACAATAGGATTAAAGAAGTGGTGGTGAAATCAGAAGGAAGACAGTAGGGAGAGATCATTCCTTTCTCGCAGACTATTTTTCGATTTTTCTCAGCAGAAAGTGTTCGAAAACTGAACCAATACAACCTCTAATTTGACCTGAAAACACGTTTTGTCATTTTTAGTCGTCCCTATTCACCAACGTCCTAGATCCATCACCGTAAGAGAAAGTGAGGTAAGAACTTCCTAGAGTAAGGAAAGGGTAGAGATTCTACAGGGTAAGATAGGGTAAAGGTTAGAAAAATTTTCTCAGTCAGGGTATAGGATACGGATAAAGCTTATCATGCTGATCTCTAATGTAGAGTTACAGTTTTTGCTAGAATCTAGTCTCGCCTATCATAGTTTCAATACTCAAAATATTAGTTCTCTATGCCATATATTCACTCTGCTACACTAGAAGTGCTAAAACTGATATGTTTCGATAACGCTCAAAATCGATCACACACCACACACAAAAACATAAGAACATATTAAAACTAAAAAGGTCCTGTTTCAACATTTTGAATGATAAGTTCTTCTTGTTTTACAATATCTTGACTGAAAAGCAAGTGAAACTTCGTTAAAACATTTTCCAAATGTATCTTTTCATTGAAAACGGTTAAATACGAAGTAAAATACGTAGTCATTTGTGTGTGTGTATGTGATCCATAATCAATTTTGAACGATAACAAAACACATTATTTTTTGGTAGCTCTAGTCTGGTGTAGAAAATATATAACATAATGAGTTAATATTTTGAGGAGATAAACTATGAAAATGAGTCAACATTTTGGCGAAGACTACAATTCTATATGTTGAAAGTATCTTGAAATGTTAGAAAAATAAGATGATTGATCAATTTTGAGCACTACTCTCTCTCTCTCTCTATATATATATATATCTTTTTGTTTTTGATACTTTTCTTTGTTTGTTTTTGTTTCAATTTGTTTATAATCTGCTATTGATATACTTCGTCGTACTTTAATTTGTTTTTGATTATTTGATAATTCACTTGTTGTTTCTAATGAATCGGAACTTTCAATAGATGATGTACTAGTTGAATGTTTTAGTGGTGATGATGGAATATCATGTAAAAGTAATGGTTTTAAACCAAGTACAACTGTTCGATAGAAACAATCTTGTGCCCATTTTGGCATAAGATCATTTGTTGAATTATCTAATTCACGTAATGGTAAAATAGAATCTTGTAAACAAGATGGAAGATGTTGTTTTGGTTTTGTTGGAGATGAATTGTTCGACGATGATGATGATGATGATGATTGAATATTTGCTGTCATTGTTGTTGTTGTTGTTGGTAAATTAGGTGGTCGTCGAGGAACACGAGGAATTTTTACTCGACGTAATGCTAATAATTTAGATTTTTGAGTAGTAGAATTCGACATGATTGTTGTTGGAAGAATTAGATTTTGTGTTGAACGAGATTTTGATATATTTTTAGTTGATGGTAAACGAGTATCAAGAGAAACAACCGATGGAATCCGACGTGTTTGAGAAGAAGATATAGTTATTGAAGAATTTAATGTTGATGAAAGAAGAGGAACTACAGGCGGAGGTGAAGTTACTGATGTTGTATTTTCACGAAGTTTATTTATTGAACTTGATGTATGAGCAGCATATGATGGTAATTGACAATTAGAAGATGATGATGATGATGATGTTGTATCTATCATAGTATTAACAAGAGAAAGAGATGAACCACGAAAACGATCTTCAGATCGTGTTCGATTAACTAAAAATTCATAAATAGTTTATATTTTTATTTATTTTAACATAAGAAAAATTTACCACGAATTTTTCGAGTTATTGATGGTTTTGATGATGTTATTTTTGATTCATTTGTTGTTGTTGTTGTTGTAATCATTGTTCGTGATTGAATACATTTACTTTGACGATGAGATGTTGTACATGAAGATAGAGACACATTTTCTTGATTTGTATTAACTGATGTTAATAATGTATCAGTCATTCTAAAAAAATAGTTAATTAAATAATTTGTTTTTATGAAACATGATCTAAAAGAAGTGTTGAGGCGTATAGAGTAGAAGCTTGCATCCCTTCTCTCTTAGACTGTGACAGACATTGCTGATATACAATCAAAGACCGTGTATGAAAAACGTCTCATTATAATATAGGAACTACTTCTTTATTGTAGTTCTAAATGATTAAGTAAAAGGCTAGCGAAAAAATGTGCTCCGAAATATATAGAATAAAACATTCTTCGTGTGGTTAGTAAGAGCGGCTACACCGTGTTTCATATATTAATCTCTCAGAAATTGTGCTAATAACTTTTTGATTTATTTTCTTCTTACATTGTATCTTTTGAAACTGAACGAAAACGAGCTGAAACACTTTTTCGTTGTTTGATTTCATGTGATGAAATATTTTCATTATCAATAATTGTATTAGTTGTGACATTTTCATGATCATAATTTTCGGTAAAAAATGAATTCATTTTTCCATTTGTACTATTTGTTATTGTTGAAAATGTTGGATCATCATCTATGAAATATAATGAATAAAAGTTTTGTTTTGGGTTTAATAAGAAAAAAATAAGTAAACCTTCATCAAGACAAGTTGATGTATCATCTTGTGAGCTTGTTGAATGAACCATTTTATTACATGAACTGAAAAGAATTAATTAATTATTATATTGAAAAATGAGAAAAAAAAATTCTGTTTTACTCTTCATTAACAATATCAGATAATTGTGTTCGAACAAATTTTGATTCAAACGACTAAAATAAATAAATAATTTATTGATTTCAAAATTTTTTTTATACTAAATACAAACTGGCAAACGTGGTTCAATTGTTGCCCATAAACTTCGTTGACGTTTTAAATTTTGTTGATGTTCATCATTAATACTTGATGTCTAAAAATCATGAAAATATAATTAATATATAAAAATCAATTGATCAAAATTCTACTTGTGATATTGGTTCATCGACTTCAGTGCTAGAAAAAAAAATTAATAAATAAAAACTAAAGAAAATTAATATTAGACATATAAATTTAAAGAATTCATTTTTTTTCTCCTTGATGATGACAGTTTGAAAAAAGTACTGAGTACTTGAAAGAATTTTCAATGGAAACAAAAGAGAAATTCATTAAAAATTCTCATAACTGGTGTTCAAAAAAAAAGCGTAAACAGAAACGCATAGAAGATTTTCTAATCAATCAGACATATTTTTATTTGGATCTTGACACTATCAAGGCTTCAAAGTGAAAATATACTTCAAACTAAAGGCTGTCTTAATATTTTTCTCTAGCGTACATTTACTTTTCGTCATCAGCGTTTTCATATACGGTCATTTCAATCCACCAATCACTTCTAGATGCCTGGTATTTAATGAAGTTTGAAACATTTCTTATAAAAAAATCTACTTATTCGAGAGAATAAATATTACTAGATAAAATGTAGTATTGTTCAGATTAGAAATGTGCAGAGCTGTCTTTCCCTACAGGGTAGGGCAAAGAAGAGTAGAGGTTTTCCAGGGTAAGGTAGGATAAGTGTTATTTCTAGTGCAGCTCTCTACAAAATTTCTTTAATAGACTGTACATAAATGAACTCGAATGTTTATATTTTCTCTCTTGTTTGATAGGTAGTTTCAACCATTTAGCAACACTAAATGTCTGAAAACCTTTTCGAAAAAAAGAGTACGCCCGTAAAGGAAACTTCCAAAGAACTGACGAGGAACTTCTCTAGATGACATCGCTTGTCGACTAATATGATGTTTATTTGATGAGTGCTAGTGAATAATAGAAAAATCTAGAATGATTTGGTTTTTCAGGCCTTCGTTCTTAAGATATCGAAGTTTTACTGAGCCTTTCAACAAAAAACTGTTGATCCCTAGAGTCACTTGGAAGATGAACATTCGAGTTTCGACTTCAATTTTTTGTACAAACAAAGTTCTCAATGAAATTAGTTTATTGGGTAAGTTGTAACTTGTTTAGTATTTCCTATCCTGAGATATCCAATATTCGAAAGTCTGAGATGTAAAAGCAAGTTTTGTTCATATATTTGTATCTCTAGGAAGAAAATCATAGAAAAACTAAAAGTTGCACAATTAATTAATCTCATTAAGAATTTTTTTCGTGCAAAATTTAAAGTTGAAACTCACAAGTCGATTTTTCATGTGACCTGGTGTGGGTTATAGTTTCTTGTTAACAAAACTCAGTAAAATTTAGATATCTCAACAAAGAAGATCTGGAAGACCAAACCATTCTCCACCTTTCTATTATTCAAAAGTACTTATCAAATAAATATCGTCTCGGTCAAAAAGCGATTTGACACCGAAACAGGTTCATTCATTGGAAGCATATCATTTTAGAGCTTTGACAAAATTCGAAAATTTGCCAAACGGACGAAATAAAAATCACATATATTTAATCTCGATCGTCGCATCTATAAATTTCTCTTACCAGAATCGAATTCGAAAAGTATATCATCAAACATAATAACATTTACTTATAAAAATTAGTTTTCACCTACATTTCAAGATCAGTTGATTTTGTTGATGATAATGGTTGAATTCGACATGTTGTTGGTACAATTGCTAATTCAGTAATATTCCAAACAAAAATACAGCTAAAATTTATATTGAATATAAACTCAATAAATCAAATTATTTTTACCTATCACCCGATATCGTGTATAAATAATGTCCATCTTGACTAAATTTTACATCAGTAACAATTTCACTATGTCCACATAGAGATGCAACACATTCTGTTGTTATTGTATCCCATATATAAACACATTTATTTGAACATGATGTTGCTAAGTATCGTCCTGATGTATCAATATCAATTTTAATTAAATAACCAGTATCATCACCAATAGATCCTTTACATGTTCGTACTCGTTTACCATCTTGTAAATTATAAACTCTAAAAAATTTAAAAAAAAGAACATTTAAATATCAAAAATAGAATTTTATTATAAAAAAAGATGACCTTATCATTCGATCTTGACAAGCTGTACTAACAAGTTCACGTGTATGATCAATAGCTAAATCATAAAATGTTTGTTTTTCAACAATATTATTTGAACGTATAAATTGATATTTTCCATTTTCATTCTAAATCAAATTGCAAAAATACAAAAGAAAAATTTTTAAAAGCCAAGAAGAAAGAAAAACGTTTACTTTTGTAACTGAACGAAATATCAATGATTTATCGGCACTACATGAAATTAATTGTAAATTCGAAGTTATTGATGAAAATGTAAAACGAACAGCTGTTATAGCTGCTGAATGATCATCTAATGTTGCTACAAGTTGATAATCTTTTGTTACATCAAATATATGAACAAAACGATCACGACTACTTGATGCCAAAAATGTTACACCTTTTATTAAGATTAGATAATATATATATTTTTTTTTCAAAAGAATAAAATCAAACAAACCCAAATCAGATGAATAACTGTAATCAACACTAAGTACTTCACAATCATGTGCTTCAATGAGTGCAATTTGTTGAAATATTTCCATATTAAATATACGAATATTTCCATTTCTATCACCTATGGCTAATGATAAACCATCGGGATTTATTTTCATACAACGACCACCAATTTTCGGTACAAATTCAGGTCGTTCTAAATGAATACAAAGAAAGTTTTCAGTCATTTTAATTAATCACAAATGATTAATTGAATATTTTTGTTTTCAATATAATAAAAATAAAACGATTCTATGTGATTGACAACACATATTTGGAAAAAGAAAAGAGTAGACCTCAATAGAATCTTACCTTGTGTGGCTTGACTATCACATAATTTTGAATAATCATCATCTAAATAAATGATTTTCATTAATTGTCTACTAAATATATTTGAAGATGATGATGATGAAGTAAAATATGAATCGTTTGCATTATGATTTAATGACCAAAAACGTATAGAATTATCAGATGAGCATGTTATACACGATAAATGCTGAAGAATTGAAGATGATGCATTCTTTCGTGAATAAGTCTTGAAAAAAAGACTCTTCTTATAAATAATTCAAAAGAAAACAAATAAATAAATTTTACTTCAATTCCCCAACCACAACCTGAGTGATACAAATGAGAATCACGTTTTTTTATTGATCGTTCATTTTTAATATCCCATATATAAAAACTATGATCATTGTAAAAACATGTTAGCTATAAATTAAAAAACAACAAATCATATTTCTCTTAAAAACTTATATTAAAATTTGTTACTAACCATAGATTTATCTTCATCTAAACAAATAGCAACTGTATCAGGAAAAGACATATTTTGTTGTTGAGGATATGTCATTTGACTATAAATAACACAAAGAAAAAAAAATAAAATAAAAATACAGTAAGTTCATTTCTTTACTCAATCGATGTAATAAATGCAATATCAACACCCAAATAATGTGGTAAAGGAATCGACATAATATGTTCAAGAGTTTGTGGTGAAAATATATAAACAGCACCTTTAACACATCCAACCACGAGATATAAATCACCAATAGCTAAACAATTTGTTTTTTCCTAATATAACAAAAACACATGATTTTTTTTTGGTTTCAAAACGAATTGTTCTTTTTTTTTGTCTACTTGAAGATCACGTTCACCACGCATTTGTCGATGTTCATCAAATTGACAGATAAGACCATTAGCTGTTATAACATAAGTCATACCAGCACAATCACCACGTCCACAAACAACATCAGTAAATAAATTATCTTTACGTTCAGCTAAAATCGCATAACGACCACGTAAAGGTACAACTTCCAACTAATATTAAAAAATTATTTATTCGTCATTCAAATTTAAAAACAAAAAGAAACATACTGATGATGTTGATATTAAATACCAAAATTTCACATGACGATTACCAACAGTAACAAAATAACTTCCATCTTCGGCGAAAGCAATACGACGAATCTAAGATTTAGATAAGATTTATGATAGTAAATAAAAATACATTTTAGTTTTCTTACAGAACATGTACATTTGTTTGATGCAAGTTTTTTCTTATCTTTCCAACTCCATACATATATATTTCCATCATGTAAAGATCCAACGGAAACTAGACGATCAACATTTGGTGAAAAACACTACAAACAAATTCATTCATCAAAAGTAAAATACAAATATTATAATTAATCTATGGATTTTTTTTTTATCGTGTTAATATAATAAAGTGAGACTAAACGCTAATCTAATCAATGATTGATGATCCTTATCACTAACGATCATCTATCAATGGACAGTTGTTGACATCTTTGTTGTTATTTAACAGAACTCCTCTATAGAAGACTAATAGTAATATCATTTATTAGGGTCGTGCAGAAGAAAACGAGAGTGGAAAATATCAAAGTTTTTTGTTTATCAAACATTTGTACAAAACAACAGAACCAAACTTTGAAATCTATAGATGACAGTGAATATTTGATATCAATATTAATGAATACAATCTCATTTGAATGAATGAATAGCATAGGGTAACACTTATCTACAGAATAAAATTGTAATAACTCATCAATAACTTAAACGGTTCACATGAAATTTTCATGCTTTCATAGAACACTCTTGGAAGTTTTATTTTATACGCATTTACTTATAACTATTGTTTCAAATGATCGACATCAATAGTAAGGCATAAAACTATATGTATCGAAACATTTTCAAAAAACCAGTGAGTAAAGCTTATTTCGAGATCATTACGATCTTATCGTCAATTCTTATCTATATATCAACACGGTATTTGATTCATGCGTTACAGTAGATGTCAATAATGTATAGTTATAGGTAAAATCATATAAAATAAAACTTCCGAGAATGTTCTATGAAATGACAAAAAATTTCATGTGAATCATTGAAGAGTTATTACAGTTTTATCTCACGACTGACTTTCGAAACAATTTGCAGAGATGTGAGGATGTGCATCTTTTATGGGCCCCCACTCCCACCCTTCTACCATTATCGTCCATTATAATAATGTATTGCTCATCTTTCGTTACTATTGTTTATACATACAGATGAACAAAATAATGAGAAGAATAACAATGCACTAGAGACATCAATTTTTTCGATATTTCTTCGCTTCAATATTTTCATTTTCTAACAAACTACGGGACCTTGCTGATTTTTTTTCTATTTATTATATTACAAAAAGATAAACATCACGAAATAATTCATTTGTCCTTGCTTAAAACTCGTGAGGATAAAATTAATCTCTAAGATAAAATCATTCTTTCAATTTATTTACTACATAATCATGAGAAAAAGAAAATACCAAATAAATTCTCAATCTAAAATAAAGCTTCATAACATTATCTTACTATGTATTGATTATATCATGAATAACTATTTGGTTTTATTATTATTATTTTGTTCTCTTTTTTAAAATAAACTTACCACACAATCAATAGCAAATTTATGATCACCCAATTCAATGCAAACTGTTTTATCACCAGTCAAATCCCAAATGCGTACTTTAGGATCATGACCACACTATAATTATTTTCTATACATAAAATATATCAAGGATTATTTTTATTGATTTACTTCGCCCGTTGCTAAATATCGTCCATCGGGTGATAGTGATAATGATGTAATAGCTTTTCGAGCTGTATTTATAATAAAATCTTGTTTTTGTGTATGAATATCGTATAGAACAATAGTTGAACTATGAATATATTAAATTATTTCCTTTTTTTTAAACTTGTGACAAAAAATAAAAAGATTATACCCAGCAGCATAAGCTATTGTTGAACGATCTTGACTAACAACTGAATTTGATATAGAAGTAAATCCAAGGACATGTTCAAGATTAACTTGATACTAAAAGAAAAAATAAATTTTATCATTTAAATAATATTGTATATATGTATATTATACTCGGGATATATTTGATGATACATCAGATCGTTGAGCTTTACGTTTAAGTGCAGAATATGATGTCATATTAGAAGTATTCGTTGATTTACGACGAATTACATCCGATGGAGATGAAGAATGAATATTTTGTGTTAATAAGGCAATATTGCCAGTTGTTATAGGTATTGAATGTTGATGGCATGCAATTGGTCGTCCAGTAGTTAGCCGAGTTTCGTCTTAATCATTCAAATAATGAATCAACAATTAAAATTTAACAAAAAAAAAAAACTAAAGATATTTATATTATAAAAATATAACAGAAAGAAAATAGTTATTTACTCAACTGATAATAGCAAAAGTAATAGAATGCTTGAAATTTAGTCACTTTTGTTTTTAGTGTTTTAAACAAAATCTAGACAATCATGCAAATAAAATGTAACCGCACAAACACACACACACATATATGCACTTAGATTAATGATTATCATCGAACATAAAGTTTCCAATTGTTTTTATTTTATTTCTTATTTTAATATTGATTTCCAGAGAGAAGGGCCATGTGGCACGACACTACTATTAACAATTCCAAACCATAAATTTAAATTAATGAATTGTTATTACTATCACTTGTAAAATTATTATTAATATTTATACATATAATAAAGAGTCATATAAAAATAGCTAGGCACATTCGTTGAATGAAAACCGATACTATAGATAGGAATGGCCCATTAAGATTTTTATCTGTTAGCTCAAGGAAGAAAAGAAATGTATTTTAAAAAAACGAAGACGTAAAAGAATATGTTTTAACAAAAAAAAATTTACTGATTAAATAGAAGAAGTACCGTGCTTTGATATTGAAGTTTTAATTAATCGTTTGACTTTGATTGTTTTGTTGATTTTGAATGTTGAAGACCTTGTTGCCAATTGATAATGATACGGTGATGGTGATGGCGATAGTGATGATATTAACTGATGACGAATTTCATGTTTCTTGTGATGCATCGAATGACAACAGCGACAACCATACCATGTGTAAAGAATAAAGTAAGCAGAACGAGAGAGAAAGAAGAAGAAATAGACAGTCTAACTGACACACAAACACTGTCGATATAGATACTACTACCAATAAGTAGTTCAAAGCAAGAGAAAGAAAAAAATCAAATGAGATAAACCAACGGTTTTGTATGCGTGTATCAACTAGTACATGCGAGTTTCTTTTTATGTTTGACTTACAAGTAAACTGAGTCTTTTTTTTTTCATTTTTAAAACGAAAATTCATAGGTTTTTTTAGAGAATATTTCCATCAAAGTGTCGATTGATCGTATCAATACACTTGTAAATAATTAATAGAGACAATTGTTTTATATGTGTGTTTGTGCGTGTCAAGAAATCGAGATTTTTAACGAGCATTTATATCTATATAGTAGAGAACGAAAAATAATATTTATCTAGACAATATTTTAAAATCATTATCGTGACATGATTAAAACAATGGACATCATCAATTGTCAACTAAGTTGTATTGAAAGAAATAGGTTCTGTGTTTCATCTTCTATTTTGTTTCGCATGAATGCAAATCTTTCGAACAAGTAGCAAATAATAGATATCGAATAACACTTACCAAGAGAACGATGCATAAGTCCACTAGTATTATTAAAACAATATGAGGAAAAAGAAATTGGTGGTCTATTAGAGAAATAACGAAGAGACGATGGTCTATCAGCAGCTGTCGTCATATTTTTGAATTAAGACAAAATGTAAAGAAAAACCATAGCGTTGTCTTTTCCAGCTGGCACGTCGTACTGCCAATGTTGTTCTTTGTACGTGAGTCTACTTCAATCGTTTGGTTGGTATGGTATGTTTACGTGAAGATATCATTACCATTATCAAGATCGTATACCTTTTTTTCCTTCTCTTTCGCTTTTTTTTTTTACGTCTCCGGTCCCTTTTTTTGTTCATCACCAACATTATTGCTGCGAGGCGATGATGTATGGTGAACATATACATATACGTATATATGTAAAAGTATGTTCCGCTTGTACGAGTGTATGTCAATGAGGGGTTCATATTATATATATATATATACATATTCATCCGAAGAAATATTATTTTTATATGAACATTCAAATAATGTCTCTTTTCTATATTCTATCATTAGATGCACACAGGGCAAGTGAAAGAAATAATGCAAGCAGAGAACGAACAGTATGAACTGACTTGAAGGTTCAATTCATTCATTTACTTAACATTTGTTCAGTGTATCTTCAGTTCATTTTGTATATTTACTAATAACTTATTTCATTTTATAAGAATTTTTACAATATATCATCAAGAGATATCGAATATTGATTCTCTTTTTTATCTAAACAGATGTAACCAATATCAAGACGATAAATCTTATTTGATGACATGCAATGAATTTTTTTTATGTTGCCAAAATTTTGAACTTTTTTTACAAGTGACACATATGAAGAAATATTTGACAGCACTTTTTTTTTGAAAGAAACTTGTTGTAAAGAAGAAAAACCTTCGGCTGGCAAACTTGTCACGTCAAATTAAGACTTGACAAACATACTGAATTAATCAAAATAGAAGCGAAAAAGAAAAAAAAGGAAAGAATGGATGAATAGAACATGGGGAAATCGGCTTCAGATAGTATGGTTAAAATTTGTACGAATCGAAATCAATTTATGAATTCTCAAGGATGATTTAAAGCAATTAACCTATCATATGTATTGTAAACAGATTTTCATCAAGGTTCAAATTACGATAGACTATTAAAAATAAGTTGGATAAATAATATAATCATGAATAGGCGACATCTGGAGACTAGTTTCAGTGATTTATTCAAACTAGTATAACAGAAACTCTTTTGATACAATTAAATATTATCATATTTGCTGACTATAAAAATGAAGAGACAGATATTCAATTATGTAACAACTTGATTCAAATTAAAGACCAAAATAGATAATACACCGTTTTCATTATCAGTAAAGATAAAAGTTGTTTGTAAAACTTACACATTGATAGTAAATAGTGATGCTACAAGTATTTGACAGCGCTGATTTGAATTTAACCACACACACATGCTTATATTCAAACGATAATATTATTGTTTATGTACGGTAACCTTTAAAAGAAGGAGAACTGAAATCTATTAGACCATTAATTGATACCATTTGTGTCTTGTTAAATAGCATGAAGAGAACAATATTTATACCGAAAAAAAAAATCAACATGTTTTCTGTTTTTAGCAGTGTAGATATTATTGAAAATAGGGTAGGAAAAACAATAGAAATGGCAGTATACTATTTCTTTCATATAAACATAGTCATGTGTTTGTACACTAAGAAGATAAAAAGTTTCTTCTAATCTTTTTCCATGATAGGGAAGTTGTAAAACTTAACGAGTATTTCATCAATTATAATACTCAAGTTTTTCTTTTTTCTTTTTGCAAAACAAAAAGAAAACGACACTTGTCAAATAATTAGTTTTTTTTCATCGGGAGTTGATAATACTAATGTTGTCAAACTTTCTTCTTATGTAAGAAAATAAAAATGTCACCTATAAAATAAGGTATTCCAATAAATTATTGGTTGTATTCTATTGTTAGTGTTCATAATTATAAGTCGAAATGAATATTGAAAATATATGTTTTATTAAATAATCTGTACTGCTCGTTCAACTATTTTGCTTAATGACGGTGAATAGTTTTCATGAATCCCATTGCTTCTGTTCATATTCAGTTTATCTCTATTAGAAAAACAAGTATATTAGGTTCAGAGTTATACTCGATACCAACAAGGGAACATTTCCAATTGTCCAATAGATTTTAAAGTGAGGCTATTGCTATTTAGTTGGTTTTGATGAAGAGTAAAAAATTCTGTTTTGATTTGGTTTTCCACTCTGCACCTGTTAAATTATGAGCGTTTTATTTGTTTTTTGTCTTATGAGTATAGAATCAATGAGAACTTGGACGATCGAATTTCCAGATAAAATTTGGTCCACACTTAGACCTTATTGTCATTAAAAATAATCCAAAGTTTAAGCCACAACGAACGTAAAAGTTGCTATGACATTTATATTTTAAAGAAAAAACTATTTTATGAACTGTATGTCAAACAAAGGACGATTCTATGATATTCTTGTATCTCGATACGAATTCGTTTCCTATAGCCTAGATTTTGAAATCTCTTTAGTGACGATAAGGTCTATCTATCAACGAAATTTTAGCTCGAAATTCGATCATTCAGGTTCGCAATGATTCTATGCTCATAGAGTAAAAATCAAGTAAAATGCTCTAAACTCAACAAGTGAAGATCCAAAAGCCAAAGTGAAAATAGACTTTTTCGTTAGTTATCATAATTCATCGATTGGAAAGAATCGCAAAAATAAAGCAATTGGACAGTTTGGAATGTTCTCTCGTGAGACCTAAAATGAAAGTACCTTTACAAAAAATGATCTTTTTTGTTTAATATACATAATTCATTTTCTTCATGAATGATCAAACATTAATGTAAAATTGAAATGTTTCTAAGAGCATAAAAAAGAAATTATTTTGAAATGATAAGAGTCATGAAAAAAAACATAAACAGGGCACCAAAGAATAAATATTGACAGCTTGAATTTACAGCTGTCTGCTTTCATGCGTTGTTTTTCTTTTTCGTTCGCCGTTTTTTTTCGTTTTCACATTTTTTATTACATTATAACAAAGAAAAAAGATTAATAGTCACAGAAAATAATAAAAGACCTAGAAACGACTGGTACACAAATATTCTTGTGGTTTTATATCTATATTTCAAGGTCGAAAGAGTTATCTGTGTATGGTTTGTACTTTTTGCGTAGTTACCATAGCTCTTGATAGTTTTTATGAGCGAAAGAAGTCTATTATTTGACAGTCTATCTGACAGAAAGTGATTAATCAAAAGACGTGTTTTCAAATTTGGTAGACAGTCTTCAGGTAAAAAATAAAAAACATTTCATCGATAAAAGGACAAAAGCTTTGAAGATTAACCTTTAGCGGATAGAAACCTATAGCGATTACTACTTATTTTTTTGCTCCATTAGATCATTTATTCATTAAACTTCAATTTGAAAGAATTATTTATAAAAAAAAAATATTCACATTGTGAAATAAATGTCTGCATCGAATTCACGATCTCAACCGATCAATGATCTTCCGGAAAGGTAAATAAAAATAAATTTTTGTTAAAATCCTCATTTCTGTATAGAAAATTTGTTCGTATGTCGCAACGTCCAGAACCTCGCTCGAATAATATTACATTAGTACGTTCGAAGGATAATCGGGATGTAAGTAGAAAAACATGAATTCAAATAAATTATGCCAATATTTAAATAGCGTCGTCCTGTCGTTTTTGTAATTTATTATTCGATGTATGGCCATGTAGCAGCATTAGCATCTAGTATTCGAGCTGGTGTTGAAAATTCTGGATGTGACTGTCGTGTCTTTCAAGTTGCTGAAACATTGTCCGATGAAATACTTAAAAAAATGCATGCACCGCCGAAAAATAAAGATATACCAATAATTACATCTGATCAATTACCTGAAGCGGATGGTTTTCTATTTGGTATACCTACTCGTTTTGGGACAGTACCTGCGCAAATGAAAGCTTTATTTGATGCTTGCGGTAGCCATTGGCTCTCCGATGCATTGCTCGGCAAGCCAGTAAATCTTCTTATGTTTCTGTTTATCAAATTATTACATACATTTATTATATATAGGCTGGTGTTTTCTTTTCAACAGCAACACTTGGCGGTGGCCAAGAGACAACTGCTCTTTCATGCGTACCATTTTTTGCGCATCTCGGAATGCTTTTTGTTTCACTTGGCTATAGAAATAAATCATTAATGAATCTTGATGAAATACATGGTGGATCGCCTTACGGTTTGTTTTTTTTTCTTTTTGTTTTATCTTTGTTCCTATCAAAGATATTAATTTAGGTGCTGGAACAATAGCTGGAACACAAGGTGAACGACGAGTATCTCAACTTGAACTTCAAATTGCACAAACACAAGGAATTGAATTCGGTAAAATCGTTTCAAAATTAAAATCAACACCAACAAAAGTGTGATTTTCAGTTTGATTCTTTTTCTGTATTTTGTTTTTCAATGATATTCATAATGATCTTATTTTGTAAATTTATTAGTTATTATTTATATCTCAATAACTTAGATTTAAAAAGCAATTGAAATTGAAAAATAAAATAATATTTGTCTTTTTGAAATAAAATCTTAGTGTATTGAACAGAAATAATATTTTTAAAGTGTTCTTTTCATTTTAATATAATACAAAAAAGAGAAATAAAACTATGTTTTAAATTCGAATATTTTGGTCATATCTTTTAATTATATTGATTGTTGATGATGAAGGTGTTGTTCGTTTACTATTCATTAATGAATTCATGTTAATTGTTCGTCGTCGATTAATACCAATTTCAAGTGGTGTAAATACTTTATTATCTTTACCGATTCTTAAATATTCTTTATGTTGTTGATATGCTTTTTCCCATTCATGTGCATCATAGCTACTTTTAACATTAGTGATTCGTTCATGATATTCAGCATTAGTTTGTGATAAACGTAATTTTTGATTACGAAGAACTTGACTTTTGGGATGATTTGGTGATGGTGGATGTTTCGTTTTTGTTATCATAATATTAACTAATTTTTTTGATTTTATTTCATTGTCTTTACCAATTTCTTGACGTTTTTCATTCAATTGTTTTAGAAAACTTTGATGAAGATGAGGAAAACGAACTGGTGCACTGTTATCTATACAACTATGACGTTGTATTTCAGATAATTTTTTTAAATGAGCACGTTGTTGACGTTGTTCATTTTGTAATTGAACGAGTGAAAAACGGCTAAGACTTGAATACTCTGGCATTATTGATTAATAAAAAGAAAAAGAAAAAAAATTTTCTAAAATAAATAAATATATTAATATAGATTTCATAAATTTCAAATACTCGTTCTACTTGTATATATCTTGCATGTTATAAATGAAAATTTTTTTAAAACTTTACTTTCTTTAGTTCAGATCAAACATATATATTTAAGTGAAATCGTAGAGATTATAATCTTGATTGAAAAATGCAAAACGTAAAATAAATACGTCGATACATAGAGACAAGAGAGTGTTTTTTTACATCTCGTTACTCTCTCTCTCTATTGAATCATTGACTTAAGTAAATAAAAAGTAGAAAGTACTTTATATTCCTTTTTTTTTGCTTCGATTGCTTCACACATGAAGCAAAGTTTTTATGAAGTTGATCGATGGCAAAAGCAGAAAGAAAACATTGACAGTTTTACTGATTCAGATCGATACATGAGAATTATATACGAAATAATTTATTGGTAATCTCTAGGTGCATTTGTATGTTAACTGACAAGTAGTACATTGAAAAAAATACGAAATACTGTTTGTATATTATAATGAAAGAAAAGTACGATTATACATTCTAATAGAAATAACTGATATTTCTAATCTTCTTTTTAGTTTTAACAGATTCAGGCTTGACAATCAACAATAAGTCAAAAGCTATATGTCTATTTGTTTTTTTATTTTTTAAAGAAACCAAATAAATTTTTTATCCTTGCAAGCGCTTACTAATAGTCACCAATGACTTAAAAGTTAATACATTAATCAGGATGTGAAATTACAGAGAACATGTAGATTTTCTTGTATTCATAGAGATAAAATTATGAAAATGATTTTGATTAAAATTGTCTTTTATGGCTGTACTTTTCACTTTTAGTATTAATTAGTTTTTATTATATTAGATTGACTTACACATAATAATAATATTCTTGAAAGCATTCATTTTTATATGAACATTAAATATGTTCAATTGACGATCTCATCTTGTTCTATTGAAGTGTTTGAAACACTTCCATTGATGATTATTACAATCATTAGTCGCGCAAGTGTCAAATAAAAAGCTGATGACGTTGGTGTCATATGATTATGTATTACGAATATGTCATGAGCAATTAAATAAATGTGTTTTCTTTTCGGTGATCAATAATAACCATAGGTTTTCAACGATAAATATCTGATTTTAAAAAACTTTTATTAACAAAGAATAATGAATACAAAAATAAAAAATATATCCTTTTTGTTTTCTTTCAAATTCAATAAAACTTAAAATAATTTTTTTTTCTGTTAATCTTTTATTGTGCCTCGTACATATTTGTTTAAATCGATTTCAGGTTCCAATAAAAAAAAAAAACATGTAAAGCACGTTCATTTTAAGCTAGTGGATGAGCTGTAATTTTATTAATAAATATTTCTAATCCTCGCCGTCGTTCTTCAATAAAATCGTCTTCAAAAAAGATCATTATCTTTTCGAAATGATAATTGTCTTTGCCAAGCTTTATAAGGTAATGATGGTAAAACTATTTTTGTATATCAGCATGTTCTAACTCTTTATGTAACCATTCAAAAGTAGAATAAAATCGATGAACAATTGATTCGGCTTGATTGAATATTGGTAATGTTGTTTTCATTTTAATTGTATAATCAACATACCATTTTGAACCAATACCACGTATTTCAGGTGAAATAACTTCAATTTGAAGCATAGATTCGGATGAAGCATATACATTGAGCATGTTGTCTTATTTGCTATATGTTTATTGTCTATGTGAGTGTTGTCAATAGAATAAGTAAACGAAATAAGATAAGATATCAATTCCCTTTTATAGATATATTATTCCCTCTCAGTGCAGATATTATTACAGCAATATACGTTAAATAAATTTTTTTCTTTTCTTTTCTTTTCTTTCTTTTTTTTGTTTTTTTTTTAAATACTATCATAATTTATAGAATAAAAAGGAAAAGCTGAAAAATCAATAAATAAAACACTGTTCGAAATGATAATAATGATGATATAGAAGTTTTTGATGATAATGAACGAAGAAATAGTTGTTGGTTTGTGTCTCGTAAATATAATTTAGCTTCTTTACTTCGTGCACCATGACCATCTGAACAACGATATGAACCGCTATCATTTAAATTAGTTACGGCTATTTCTAGAGTAGTTACTGTTACATTAGGTAATTCAATTGATGTTGTCACACGGGTTGTATCAGGTGCCAATGGTGTATTATCTATTAGAAGATAAATAAAATGAATAAAAAAAATTGTTTTTGTTTATTATCAAATTATACCTTTAAGCCAAGTGACTTTTTCACGTCGTACTCGATATTCTCCAGTAAAATTACATGAAAATTTTGTTTTATCACCAATAGAAACAAGAACATCAATTGGTTGTATATCAACAATAATATCTATAATATAGATATACTCGTTTGTTTTCTATTGATGCATAATGTGTAGTTACTTATATTCAATCATTCAGATTGCCTACTTCATCAATATCTGTTTATCCTCCAATTTTTACTCGATCATGATTATCTTTTTCTATATATATATATATATATATCAGATATATCTGTTTGTATTGTTTTTTTATTCATATAAACATTGAATGCATATAGTGTGCTTAGATCTGATTCTTTTATATTTTCTTACCTTCTACAACAAGTTTTATATTCGATCGAATCGATTCATGATTATCTTTTCTAACAACATGACATTGATAATGAGCTGCATCTGATAATCGTACATTAGTTATATGTAAATCCCATTTAGCAGGTGAATATCCATGATCAACACTATAATAATCTACACTAAAACGAGAATCTTTTGTTATTAAATGTGTGCCAACATTTAATGTTGATTGACCAGGATTTGTTAATTTATACCACATAACCTAAGAGAATAATAATATAACAAAACCAAATTGAAATAGTCTTTTTTTTGTTTCTTACTCGTTCAAGTTCTACATGAGGTGAAACAGCTTTACATGGTAATATAACTGATTGCATTGGTACACTAGTTATGATATATTCCTGTTCAGATAATGTGGATGATTGCTGCTCGATGGCTAAAGCACGATGAGCACCTATATTAAAAGATAAATGAGAGAACAATAAAAGTTAGTTTGTCACTAATAAATATGTAAACTAGATATTGAATTGTCTGTTTTCTTTTTGCAGTTATTTTACATGAGCTTTATAGAGAGTACAAAAAAAAAACATCAAAAGAAAAATGATGATCCAACTCTACTGTTTTTTCTTCTTGGTAGATCAAAGACTATGATTATATACATATTCTATATAGTTCCTTTGAAACTGAACACGCAAGATGCCTCAAGCTATATACAGTTGTTCCATGCCACTTGAAACTGCCTCTCGAACTGTTATTCTTCTATATAGATGTTGACGAATCACTTGAACAATATGTCGCTGAAATTCGACCGATGATGTTGAGATAGAACATGATGGTGCTCTTAATGATGAATATGTTAAAATAAAACGGAAGACAGAAAGACAAGTTTGACTGATTGTGTTGTTTGACATCGACAATGCTTATCTATTTTATCGTCTTTTATCTATAGTCGAACTGTACTAAAGTAAATGTTTAGAATCGGACAAGACCAAAAATAAAAATAAAACTCTAATAAGATGACATTCATTGTGTATACATGACACGCTGCTCTTTAGCCATGCACAGTCAAGTATTGTCCCTTATTTGCATATGGTGCTCAACATACGATCACCATTTGACGTCACATGTACATACATGTTGCATAGATAGGCTCGTTTTTTTGATAAAATTAATTATCAAATGATATATATGTCATATATTACTTACCTATAGTACAGACGAAAAAGATCAAGGCGACAATGGTAACCATCGATAGTTCATGCTTAACGATTGTATTTCTTGCTAATGTGACTATATAATTGGTTATTGTTATTGGTGTTTGATTTGTTTGCTATGAAATTTATATGTTAGTAGTCTTCTAATAATTATTTGCGTGTGTGTGTGTGTGTGTGTGTGTGTAATTCATCCACTACCGAGGGAGCATTTTCATGCCAATTATAGTAGCCAAACGAACTAGCAAAAGAGAACGATGGAACTGAACAGTTCTTTTTTTGCTATTCTCTTGTTTCTCTTTTTTCCTCTCATTCTCTCCTTCTCTTTCTTTGTCTCTTCAGAAGAAAAAAACAAAATTAAAAGAAAAAAAAAACGAATAATAGGAATTATGACACGAATATGAATACATGAACAAATATAAATTGAAATATAAGGAATACAAAGAAATAGATGGATAGATATGTACATTCAACGAATCAATTGCCTAATAAGGCAGAAAATCACAAGAATACAATGGAATTTTTTTTCTTCTCTCGGTTGTATACTATTATTCTAATTATTAAACGTCCTTGACTATCGTATGCTCAATCGTTTTATATGCTAAATCTCGGAGAATACGCCGTGAAAGACGTGCTTGTCAATCATCGTTGTTGGTGTTCACCCCTCAAGGAAAAGATCACTATCATATGAATATAAGATATCATCAAGAACATTGCTTTGAGAAAGAAGAAATAAAAAAAAAAAGAATAGAATGATTCTCAATCAATTTGTTTGTCTATCTATTCAATATTGAAATAAAATGCACCATGGGTAAAATAGACATGTAAATTATGATTGACTTAATCAAGGTTATAACCATAATATCTTGTTCTATTTCTTCTTCTTCTTCTTCTCATTCTCGTATTCAATCAATATAAAATGTTCTTTTGGGGGGGGTTCTTCAGTTTCTCGCTTGGTTGCTATTATTGGTCTCCTATTCATCCCTTGAGTATGCCTCTCTGATCACTGGGCGACACGAATGATTGCATCATTGGTTTTCTTCTTTGTCGTTTTATAATCTTCATCATTCATTTTCTCTTTGCATTTTTCAAATTTGCTATGTATTAAGACGTAGCTTCGCGCTTTATCCATTTTTTTTTCGTTGTGTTCCCTGGGCCTTAACAATTTATTCTTAAAGCGAACAAACTGTAAGGATGTGTCTAATACAATTTTCGAAATCAACTAGATTGACTGTCAAGCGGAAGAGGAGGCATAGTGCATCGCTCAAAATTCCAATTAGTTTATTAACAATCGAACGTCTGAACAGTCAGTCGAAAACAACAACAAGGAAGTACGATCGAAAGAATTAAAGAACTGCGCTTTTTTGATTGTCCTCGACTGTAAGCAACAAATTTCATACGATAAAAAAAAATCATTTTATTCATAATTCTATTTAACATTTTTATTATGAGTGCTACTATAAAGAAAAAAGAAACTCAATGTCTTTCAATTTGATTGACATTGTGTTCGATGACCCAAGAAGAAACATAATGATAAAAAAAAATTATGTATGATTATAATAAAATAGACGAAGAGAAATAAAAAAGAACAATATAACAAAGAAAAGCCGAGTAAAGAAAGAAAAAAAAAACTATAATTGGCATTTTCTCTTTTCTTACTTTATTGAAAAGCCCTAAGGGAATTCGATTGAGTCTTACAATCACTTATATTTCACAATATGAATTGTTCTTTTCTTGTTGTTATATAAATCTATCTAGTTTTTTTCATTTATTCTTGAATTGCTAATGTAATGAAATAATTATATATATATATATATATAGATATTCAGATAAAATTGAAAATAGACACTCATGACCTATTTAGTATAAGTGCAAGGTCAATCGTTAGGAAAATATGCTGTTTATTTACTTTCAATCAATCTTATATTATTTCCTTTCTGTAAGACTTTTCTTTGTTGTACTTTTTGTTTTTCGTCGAAAAAAACATCAAATTGGATACTATAACATCTACTATACTTTACTATTATGATTTATTTCGATAGTCAAGTGGACAAAAGTTTCAAGCAGATTTTCAAATATACTCAAAACAATAGGTCGTGAAACACAAAAAAACACAAAACCCTAGTTTTTGTAAAGAATTAACTTTTTATATGTATGTGTTGATCGAACAAAACGAAAGAAAATATTTTTCAAATGATATTATAAAAACATTTATTCTTATTAATCTTTTCATCAAAACAAAAGGAAAAAAGAGACGTCTAATGCAAATGGATAATATTGCAAAAGTTGTTAATATTCTTTTTGCTTCTTTCCTTTCTATATCATCGAGTAACAGGCATACACACATGTGTATAAATATAAATATACATATATATAAAATTGACAAAACTCACTCGAGTTACTACATCGAATCACACAGCTATTATAAAAATAAGCGATGCGTTTTTGGCCACCATTTCATATATATTCACTAGATATTATATCGAATTTTCCAAATAAATTAATTTTTCGTGCACCAAAATGTGTTCGTCTTCGAATGACTGTTGATCGTCTTGAATTAAATGAAAATCCTGGTTCATGTTTAACTCATTATAATCATGATACTTCTTTATGGGAATGTTATCATTCCCCATGTGCAACTGGTCATCATCGACTTTTTATTTGGCTTTTAGATAGTGAAAGTGATGATTCATGGGCTACTGCTGTTAGATTTGATGTTTATGTAGAAAAAATAATAGAATCAATATATTATCCTGTTACAACGAATATATTTAATGCACTTCGATGTCAATTAATTACACCAATTAATGGTATTCTCTCAAAAGAATCTCTACCACCGGATATTATCATTCGTGTACCTTGTGTTCGTGATGTACAATTACAAATAGATGAAAAAACATTAGTCAAAGGAGATAGTCTTCAAAATGATATTTATAAACTTAAAATTCCACCTGATATATCCGATCATGTGAGAAATTTTGTACTAATGGGTTTATGTTTTGATGATATGTATTATTCGATATTAATTACATATAAAATCGAATAAAAAACAAGACAGTATGAAAACTTGTTTTATTGTATATGAATTTTCTTTTTCGTTTCTAAATAAATCATTTTGATTGAATTGCATCCCAAATTTCATCAAGATTAATGTCTTGAAAGTTTTTCGCTGTTCTCCATGTACCATAGTGTTCCAAAGTTTCCTTTTTTGCTGATGTTAGCATACCAATACATTTAATTTCAGCAGCAACAGCAGCTCGAACACCTGATATTGAATCTTCAAAAACAATACAAGATTTTTTATCAACATTTAAACGTCGTGCTAATTCCAAATAAATATCCGGATTTGGTTTACCTTTATTTTTAAAATATATATAAAAAGATTTAGATATTTTGAAAAATAAAAATAAAAACAAAAACTTACCAATACCAAATTCTTCAGAAAGAAGTACAGCATCAAAAAATGATTTTTCATCAAGTTTTAATATTCCTAATTCAAATTCAACAATCAAACGTGGTGCATTCGTTGCTAAACCTTAAAGTAGAAATTCATAAAAAAATTTCATTTAATTCATTTTTGTTTTTTTACCAATTTTTAATTTTGAACGATTTTCTTTTATATAATCAAGTATTTTATCAAAACCTTTTGTTGGTTGAAGTTTTTCTTTTGCTAATTCACGAAATAATAATTCTTTTTGAACTGCTATTTTTTCTCGTTCAACTTCCGGTAAATGTGATAATAATTCACGAGTTATATCTGCATTTAATCGACCTAGGATTACATATATATATATACATGTGGATCACAAGAAATTAATAGATAATATATTCAAATTCTACCGGAAATATGTTTATCGAAAAATTCTCGATCAATTAAAGGTTCATTAGGCTTTAGTTCTGCAAGAATTTTTTGCCATGCTTCAAAATGTATTGGATCAGAATCAACTAATGTACCATCAAGATCAAATAGGATTGCGTACATTTTTATTTCTGTTCTAAAAAGACTTAGTTAATGTCTTAAATTCTTATTAATCACCTTTACTGTTCACATTATGTATACAAAAAATAGAACCACAATGAAAAAAAAAATAATAATAAAATAAATGTGAAATAAAATAGAAGGCTAGTCTAAATACAATTTTTTTTTGTGGTAGTAGTTCGTCAACTCTTGGTTTCAAAACGCATTGCTTCTCGAGCAGTTCTCATGAGTAATAAATTAATATCTGGCGTTGGCAAAACATTTTCATGTGCTAATGCCATACGACGAGGAAAAAATATATAATCAAGCTAGATTTAAATTAAAGATAAAACACAAATATTAAACTTATAAATTTAAAACAAAACTCATTATATTACCGAATAGTTAAGAAAATTACAAACATTTGATGTATAAACATCAGCAAAACGAGCTAAACGTCGATGAAAATATGTTGGAACTGTATGTGTACGAAATATAGAACCAAAAGAAGGATTAAAATAATCACGAGATTTCATTCTAGAAATAGGGAAGGACGAATTAGGATTAGTAGAAAATTTCAAATATGTTACCTTTCTTCTTCTCGTTCCGCAACCCAACCTTTCATAATTACATCAGCGTCACGACCAGGAATATCCTGTAAATAAAAAATAAACAATATTTAAATCTAGTTGAATATTCAATGAAATATAGAATTATTTAAAGTAAACAAAACATTTGATTAGTACAATAAATAACTATAAAACCAATAAATTGAATGAAGAATTAGTATACTACTTGAATAGTCAGTTAGTAATGAATCAGATTTGTTTATAAAGTTAAAGATCAACAAATAAAATTCACTAACAGCCAATTAAATCGAATAGTAAGCATAGAAATTGAAATGCGTTATAGCGCGATTCACTTGCTTGCGCTTTTTCACAGTAAAGATGCTATGTACGACATACATGTAAGTAGTCTGCTACTAGCTTTCTTTCTGACTTCAGCTTAGAATCCACAAATAAAAACGATGGATGTTGTACAAATTGTGCAATATGGAAATAATGTATTAGATGAAGAGTGCCAGAAAAAAGTAAACAAAATATTGGGTTATTGAGACTACATTTGATAATGTTAATGAAGCGAAAGCATCACTTGAAAGTAAATGTTCAAAACTTTATACGAACTCTGCACTAAACGGGAGAACAGTTTATTACACATGCAAGAAAGCCATGCGTTGCGGATCTTAATGTAGAGCAAGTATTTATCTGTTATAATCATGCCAACAATAAAAAAAGTTTACTGTTTATAAAGCTGAAGCTGAGCATGATAATCATAGGGGTGTGTAAGTATGAATGTGAATATCATGAAAACCTATTTCAACCCACATCAATATCTGGAATGTTTCAAATATAAAAATATATATCATGAGTTAACACGATTTCCTTTTATGATAATGTACTAAGTGCAATCATTGAAATTGTTTTTTTTTTCAGAATGTTGTGATAAAGAATAATAAAATACGAAACGTTTATGTCATTATCTGGAAAGTTCTACAATCTTAAGAGTGCTTGAAAAGTTTCGACCCCTCTCAGTAAATCGATGGTATATATGACGAACCTATATATCGTTAATTGACTGAAACATGTAATTTTGTTGAGGAAGATTAGAACTATCATCTGAAAAAAGCATAATTCGAAATGCATCAATGTAGTACAATATTATGGTCATTTCGGTAATCTGGATTGAATATTTTCGTATTCTATTTTATGAGAAAGAATTTTTAAAAACTTTCTTTATAATCGTTGTATATTTTTTCTTCGCATAGATTTTTTTATTAGAATTACTATTTTAATGGAACAATATTCATCATTATTTGCTGACTATGATTGAAGGTTTATTACGCTTCATATTGATAAAATCTCTCATATTGACAGTCTTATTTGGTGACGTTTAATGTTTCCAATTTATTCTCTAATATGTCAGTTGCTTGGATTTATCTTTCTGACAGTTTTATTTAAAATTTCCTGACATTCATTTCAAAACCAAATAGACGATTTATGGTCAATAAAAAACTTGTGAGATATTATTCGACAAGATTTAAGTAAATGTGAAAATATCAAAAAAAAAAATTATTGATATATGGAAAATATTTTCGGGTAAAATAACGTGAGAAAATGATTAACAATATTGTGAAAAGGTTAAAAGCAATCATGCGAAACAATGTCAACACATGACAAAATTTGATTATTGATATTTATATAAAATGTCCATCTGATAAGTTTTTGATATTTTATTGGAAAAAAAAAAATTTTTTTTTATGTTAGAAAAATATGTAAAATAAAAATATTTACTCGAGATTAATTACATTTATGCATTTCAAAGCATCTTTTTTTGGACATGATAATTCTAATCTTCCTCTATAAAATTACACATTTCGATCAATTAATCATTATATAGCATTGGTATAGATATCATCGATTTTTTGAGAGGGGTCAAAACTTACCGGCCAGCCTTTATTATTTAAATAATCAATCGAATTTTGTTTTGAATAATAACTACTTTTCAGCTGCATCATGTAGTATATTTGCGTTTTTTTTTTGTAGATTTCAAAATAATGAATATACATTCTTATTAATATTTTAGCCTGATCTAGATTAATGGATAATGTAAAAACTGAAAACATCGAAGGAGAAAATATTGACAAGATAAATGATAGTAGCCAACATAATTGAATCATCTTATCTATTATTATTTCTTGTCAAATCAATTCATTCCAGAGGTTGGATCGAATTGAGTTCTACTAGTTCGAGTTCGATTCATTTTTGGTCTTTACTCACTCTGTTCTATTCTAGTATCAATCATAATTCTTCAAAAAAAAGTAAACTCTATGCCTATAGCAATATGCGCAATATATTAATATTTCAAAATGACCTTGCTGTATTCACTATTCCAACCAAATTACATATCAGATTGTTGATAATAAGAATGATGATAATTTCTGAGTTTGATTTATCAAGAAGTAACCGTAGAATAGTAAAATTTAAGAAGATAAACTAATTTGACAAGAAATAATAACGGATGAGACGCTTTAAATAAATAGTCTACAATTATCTTTTCTTTCAATATTTTCATCTTATATGTTTTCCATCAAATCTAACATAATTATTTTTTTTTTTTTTTTATAAAAAACGATATGAATAGATTTTGATAACTTAATACCGACATTTCTTATTGTATTTTCAAATTGAGATAGTATAATTCAATTAGAAATCTTTCAAAATGACTTACTTGTAACTGATCGATTAACCATTCAAGAATGTTTAGCTATTAAAATAAAATAAAACTATGCATAATTTTTGTTTTAAAAACTATATTACCCATCGAATCGTTTTTTGATATGCTTCTGAATTAATTACATTAATTTCATCCTTGAAATTAATAATAAATTCAGTTTTTATTATTAATAAATTACCAATACTTACTTCAACTTCTTCTAAAATTGCACCTGTTCTCCATCCATGTGTAAGAAATAAATCCTTAGAAAAAAAAAAAAAACTTAAATGAATCTTATTCTTTATTATCATATACTTACTGCTAAATCACCGTAAATATGATCACCAATATAAAGGACATCATGTCCTTCCCAATGTGTCATTTCAACAAGAGTTGTAAGATTACCCTTTAATAAAACAATTGAAAAGATTATTTTTCGTTTTTCTTTCTTAAAAATTTAATATACTTCAACATAAACTTTTCCTTTTTGTAATTTATAAACTCGATCCCAAGATTTTGAATTATTATTAATATTAATTTCTCTAAATGGTCTAAAAAAATACAATATTTCATTTAAAAACATTATTATAAGAGTAAAGAAAAACATATCCGACAAACCTTTTTTGTGCACCAAAAAATGATGGTTTTCTAGCTTGACATATAATAAAATTAAAAAATTCTTCCCAATTTTTTCCAAGTAAATATGTCATGCCACGATTAACATACCAATAAGCACTATTTGTTATTAAAAATAATTGTTTATTAGCATTACGAAGTCGTTGTAAAAATGGTTTTAAACGAACATTTTCTTCAAAATAAGTTTCTAGAAAAATAATAATCAATTTTCTTGTCAATAAATCTATTAAATATCTTACCAACATCTTCTCCAACTAATCGATGCATCATACCAGTTCTATGAAAAGAACTAACTGATTCCTTAATTTCATTAAAAGAAATAATTTTTTTTATTCGATTTATTTATAAAACATACATACTCGAACATCAAAATGTACATATTCAGATGCAAATGGAATACTGTTATCAATAAAATACTAAATTAAATAATTGATTTATATATAGTGGTCACAAAAATTTTTGCTATCAGATAAAATGTACTTAAACTTAAATTCTTTACTCTCATAGTTTGAACATCAATAGAACATACTGAACTCTGATTACAAGAACTTATCAAGACTTAATTAATCTTTATAGAGAAGAGCTAGAAGGTTCACATAGATTTTTTTTCTTCAGATGAGCATATATCAAGAAAGAAAACAAATCTCATAACGTTAGACCCTTTCTTTGACAGCTTAATGTTGCCTCTATCACCAATGAAGCTCCATACCACACAGTGTTAATTTGTCTGATTTATATAGTAATTTATGCGTAATCTTTATATGAGAGTTGATGGAAATCGTCAAAAAATTGATTTATGTCTCTGGTAAATTTTAATTATATTCCTCGCAATTTTCTCCAATGAATGCCATGTTCTAATCAAGTTTTCAATGAAGATTTCACGATCACAGTCATCAATGTAGAAGAAATTCATACTGAGACCGTCTCAGACTATGAAGGTTTTCTTGAGCCTCAGGATTACAGTGAATTCGAGTACTTTGTATGTGGCACAATATAGACATGTGAACTTTGATTCATTAATAAGAAAATGGAGGTTAACACATTTAAAAAATCGAAAACGAGTGTTTTCATCGTAAACCATTTTCATTAAGACCTATCGGCTTCAGGTTGCTGGTTACAATCAGAGTTTTACCGAGCTCTGTTTTTAATCAAAATATCAGGCAAAATAATTAAAGTTGATGTACTTTTTACTCGGTAGCGGAACTTTTTGAGGTTATTGTACATATATGTTAATGTAAATTTCTCTTATACAATTCAAGCGATTTATTTGATTCTTTTTATGATATAGATGTTCTTTAAATTTTTCTTATGTAAATTTTTGAAATAAATTCTATGATCAAATTTGAGTCACCTATGGTTGTGCAACGAAAACTACGAGTCAAATTCAGTAAAAATACACCAAATGAAGATAGTGTTAAAGTTACGTTTCAATACTTTCGTAAAACTGATACACTGAAAAGTCGAAAAATGTTCTGGAAGATCGTCAAAAATTATAGAAGAAGAAGAAGAGAAGTGGATGAAGTTCATGATGTTCGTGAAAAATAAACTATAATTATGTGTTCGAGCTATCGCCAAGACCTATTCTATTCCACGAACAAGTTGCACTTTGTATAGTTTCAATAAAAAGTATTCAGGTGATAATTCGATGAGCTATTGTTCATGCAATGAAGTAAACCTTTGCGACAGCTCGAACAGTTGAGTATGGTTCATTTTTCATCAGCATCATGAATTTCATCTAGTTTTTCTTCTATAATTTTTGACGATCTTGCAAATTGTTCTCGATCTTTCACTATATCAATTGCAGAAAAGTGTTACAACGTGACTTAACATACATATAAGAAAAATCAACTAAACTGCTTGAATTGTAAAAAAAAATACATTTAGGTTAACTTTCCCAACTGACTTTTGGGATGCTCTTTACATTTAATTTAAACATTTTTAGTATTTCATACTTGAGTCACGTCACGTAAAATTGTTATTTCAGGTATTGAAAAAATGTCAACAAATTGATACATATTTGATGTCATTCCAAGATAGCCAACTTCCTCAACAGATAATTTAGTACCATGATGTGCAGTAATAACGTCTTCGTCTGATACTTTCCGCATACCACTAAAAAAAAACAAAAAAAAAAAGGGAAAGATTTTAATTTAAATCATTGGAATATATTTACTGATACACAGTGCCTAATTGGATATTATGATAGCTATCAACTTTCATTAACCATCCACGTCTTATATCTAGATGCAGACCACGTGCACCGATTCCAGGTCGAAAAGCAAAATTCATTAATTGATCTGGATACTTTAAATCGAGAAGAAAAAACAATGAAAATATTTATCTAATATTTAACATAAAGAATTTTACTCGTAATTTTTTAACGAGATATTTTTTAGCATGATCATAAATTAATGAATGTAGTGTTGATTTATATCTTGCTAATGTATAATCTATTTAGAAAAATAATCATTTTTGTTTTTGATTTCTAATAATTCAAATACTAGATTACAAACCAAAATCAAAGCCATAAACTTTTATTTTTCGTAAATCTAATTCATTATTAGCAAATATTCCATTTGGCTTCATTGTTTGTGAATAAGATGTTGTTGAAGCTAAAATATGAAATAATAAAATAAACAAAAATTGATTCAAAAACTTAAGTTTTACATAAAGATTCCTCTTTAAGCAGTTCATATATTTGCTGCAAATCTTTTAATTTTCGTGTTTGAGTAAATGAACGTCGAGATTGATAGAATATTATTGTGACTAATGGAAAATATTGTTTATGACAGCACAGCATTATATTCATTATTGACTTAGATATGACGATTTATTAATGACACTCTGTAATTAATCATAAAGATATGAGTCCGTTTTCTTTTAATTCATTTATTTTTCAAAAACGACATAAATGATTCGGTGAAAGCAACCAGTTCGAATGTAGGTCGACAGAGGTCTATACAAGCCAAACCGCATGTCTGTAATTATTCCTATTTACATTGAGAATGATAATCATCTATAGTCAAGTGTGTGGGTGAGAGAAGGAAACTTGATTATCCTATTATGTTTACTTCCATAGTTGTTCAATAAGATAAATTGTATCATTATAGCACACAAATAATATTATACTGCGCTTTTTCATGCAAACATATCTAAGATTTAAACCATAAATAATTATTAAATAATGTTTATTGAGTATTGCGGAATCAAGTTATTTATTTATCGAAACAATTTCCCATAGTTGTCGTTCTTGAAAGAAAAATAATGTAACTGATTGATATTTTTTTGTAATTAAAAAGGTTTAAAGAAAATGATTTGAAAATCACGATCTTATAATTTTCATATAAACATGATGAAACATGTTAAGTTTCTTTTTTTAATATTAGTAAACTGAAATAAAATAGAATGTGAAATGTAAATATCGTTTATAAAACTTAAGTCTATCAAGTCAACGTTTTTTCGTTGATGACAATAATATTAATTAGTCTTTGAAACGAAAAACAATATATAAGAAACACATGAAAAAAAAAAGACAAATAGGATGTCGATGTATGTGTGTATGTAAACGTGACGAGTAGCTCTTACTTCCATAAACAGGACAAACTCACTAATCGATAAAACATCGTTGATCACAGACGAAAATTCAAAAACGAATCGATCGGATTCAGTTACTGAAACAAATCAAATGAGAACAAAATCGAAGAGTAAATCTCTTTTGATTTATCTAATAAAGTTAAACGTAGTTTCGTTGATTAAAAAGGATCGTCATTGATTTTCGTTAATCGTTCGAAACTTTCACGTTCTGTGACGATGCACAACGATACAATACGTCGGAATCTAATCTTGATCGAGTTGGTTATTTGATTACATTTAAAGACATCTTTATTCTATTCAGTCATGATATTAGTGTTGAGGAAATTCAAAGATTCTGTGAATCTTAACAAAGTTCATAAGGAACATTGTTTGGACTTGTGTTTGTACAACAGAACAATAAAATATTATGATAATGCACATAGTCACCAACAAACTCCTCTAGTGAATCAGTTTTGTCAAAGTAATAAATTTTCATTTCGTCATTTCTCCAACTCTATGTGTTTCGCAACATATAGGATCATATTGTGTTGTCGTCATATCCAAAAACACAATCAAAGCCGTCGAAATCGTTTCATTATTGATATTCTCTCGTTGTTATCGATCTGTTTCATTCCAATTTAACCGAAGCTTTGAGCGAGTAGAGTGAAGAAGATGATCGATACATATGTTGAGATCTGTCTATGATCGAGACAGTTCATTATGAAAGAAGATAGCGAATATGTCTAAGAAAATTTTATTGGACAAAATCTCAATATGTAATGATGGTATATGGCTCATTCTATTGATGCCATCTCAAAAAAGAAAGCATCAAAAAAATCCGTTAAAAGATAGGTAAATCATAAGAGACGGGTGAAGAACGCATCGAATGTATTCTGAAAATCGATACAATGATCTTGTCAAAAAGCTACATTTCATCGAATTTATATCTATGTCTGAAGAGTTGAAGTGTGAGTGCAAACATAGGCTCGCATCTACACTCTTATCACCTAGATCAACAAAGAGACGTATATGCTGAATAATGTATATAGAAGAAATGTATAACATAGAATGAGAATGAAATGTTTATTACATTTTTAGTAAAACACATGTCAGGAATACATATGAGTTAGACTGATCTATATAAATTGACATCCTACCATATGTTTAACACTACAGTAGTGTATGCATCTGTACAGCTAGTTGTTACTGGTGACAAAAGATCGATAAGTTGTAGACATGATAGTAGCCGACGAAATTGAACTTGTTGTAACAGTGAAAATCGAATGATTTTGATCGATTGAATGTATAGATTAGAGATGTAATTCTAAACATAAGAAGAATTCTTATTCATATACTTTTCTATCTGAAAAAAATTACAATTGACAAGAACTTTAATATAATCATCTTTAATGTCTCTCACAAAGATATGAATTTTCACAGAAAACATTCAAGTGTAAGTAGAATTATTCCAGTAAGAAAAAAATGCTTAAGTTACTTTTCATTATAACATTCTGTTGAACACCTTGAATGCATACTTCTACCAAACATACATTATTGAAAACTCGATCTAATATATTCTTTCTTATTATCTGTTAAATAAATTGACTCGATATTTTTTTTATATCAATTTGTTGTTATATTGTTAATTGCTATTGATCAAACTCATTGAATTTAATCATAACTTGACTAGTTAATTACATGCAAGTTTTATATAACTATTTTCTCTTGTCGATTGATTAAAAGACCATTTAATCAGCTCAATTGGGTATCTTGAAAGTATCGACTTGACTTGATATAAAATCAATTTAGATTTAAAGGTTCTTTTTTCATTATTCTTTTTTGAGAAAATGTTCATACTAAAGCTCTAAGCATTTCTATTGAAAAATTTTAAGTATAAAGTCATGATCAAATATCTTTTTTTTTGTTTTTCTATTTATCTTTGATTCGCACGTTTTGTTCATGTAATATGATGAAACTCATTCTTTCTCTTATACTTGTTTGTTTTTTCTGATAAAATCAATATTGTGAAATATTTCTCTTGTTCTTTTATTTTTCAAAACAACATAATAACAACAAACAATGTTTTTATTTTTTCACACTTTTTTTCTTGGTTGTTTTGTTAGATGTTGGTTCATTTTTCTTTTCTGATAATGACGTCTTTTTTTCTTCTTCTTTCTTGATTGATTTCAATGGAATAAAATCCGTTAATTCATATTTAATTCCAGCTTCCGTTAATTTTTCTTGTTGTTTTAATAATTTTTTAGCACGACGTTTATTACTTTTTTCGATTTGTTCTTTGGATTTAATCCGATTATAAAGTGCACGTTTTTGTCTTGGTGTTTTCACCGTAAATAATCGTTTCCAATTTTTAAATAATTTTTCTGTATCAATTTTATTTCTATCGACTAAACGACATTTAATTAATGAACGAAACATTAAATAACCATTCATTGTTTCTGATGCAATACGTGCAACATCTTCATCTTCAAATTCAATATAAGCATAACCACGGCTACCACCTGTCTTTTTTGATCGTATTAATTTTAAACGTGTCACAACACCAAATTGAGAGAAATATGAATATAGTTCACGTTCAAAAAAACCATAGGGTAAACCAGATAAACGTATAAGACCAGATTCAATTGAAACTAATTTATTTTTTTTTATATCAGATTTTTTTATTTTACGTTTTCCACTACCGGTGACAGTTGGTAATGAAAGTGTTTGTTCTTTTTCATTATCACCATCATCTTCTTGTTGTTCATCATCATCTGTACTGGAATCTTCGGCATTAATAAGACGATCATCATCATCAGCATCAACAATCATATTGGCCATAATAAAAATGGTTATCTAAAATGAAAAAGATGAAAGTATTTTCTACTTTTTCTTATGAAAAATAAATATTAAGATATCTGAAAGCAATAAAATGAATATATAAATACGAGATTTATGTATGCTTAAAACTAGTTAGAATAAATAAAAACCTGTTTGAAATAGATCAAGAATAAAATTAATCATTAATTAATTAATATCAAGAATGTGAAAGCAAGGAACAAAAAAAAAATTATCACAGAAGAAAAACAAAACAACAAAAACAAAAAAAAAGAAAACTGAGACAAATAAATAGTTTCATTTTTTTTTAGGTTTTTGTTGTGGTTGCTGTTGAACCATTCGTTGATGTTCAGCTTGAGTCAATTCAATATCAAGTTTTGAAATTGTATTCATTAAACTATCTCGTTCACCACGTAAAACATTTATTTCTTTTTTATGCGTATTTAATTCTGAACGAAGTCGTTCATTTTCAAGTCGAATCATTTCTGCTTCTCGTAATTTTTCTTGAACATCACTATTATCATTGTTCAATTTAGATGAAACTGTATTAGTTAAGTTACCTACATGTTAAAGAACAATATATAGGGTGGTTCATAAATAACTGTGCGATAAGAAATTCGAATATCTTCATTACGGCTCGAGCAAACGTGCTGATTTTTTTACCAGTGATAGAGGCATGTATCAAGTTTATATCCATAAAGACATGTCCAGGGAGACCCTTTGTTAAGTATTACTATTGCCCTCAACAAGAAAAATTTACTTTTTCACAGATAGAAAAAAAAAGCAGTACACTTAACAGAGGATCTATCTAGGCATGTCTTTATGGATATGAAGCTTGAACATGCCTCTATTATTGGTAAAAATATCACCTCGTTTGCTTGAGCCGTAATGGAGATATTCAATTTTTATTTTGGCAAACTGACTTTTGGGCCACCCTGTTTATAGCCCAAAAGTCACCCATCCGAAAAAAAATTGAATATCTCCCTTACGACTCGAGCAAAGAAGCTGATTTTTTTACTGGTGATAGAGGCATGTATAAGCTTTATATCCATAAAGACATGTCTAGGAAGACGCTTTGTTAAGTATCACTACTGACCTCAACAAGAAAAATTTCACTTTTTCACAGATAGAAAAAACTCTAGTATACTTAACAAAGGGTCTCCCTGGACATGTCTTTATGGATATAAACTTGGTACATGCCTCTATCACTGGTAAAAAAATCAGCACGTTTGCTCGAGCCGTAATGGAGATATTCGAATTTCTTATCGCACAGTTATTTATGGACCACCCTGTACATCTATATTGTTTAAAAATAAATTCTCAAGATTTAATATTAACCTTCATTCTGAGGTGTTTCAATCATAACTTGTCCATCAATTTGTCTAACAACATGCATTCGTTTAATATTAACTTTCAATGGTGGTTTTATTGCTACCACTGCTTCTGTTGTTGGATATTCATGAACAGGCTGAAATTCAAAAACAAGATTTATCAAAATAAAAAGAAAAACCAATAAATTCATATACTTCAAGTGATAATTGTATATTATTGAGATCAATATTAATAGGAACAGATTTATGTGGACGATTTTTTCTAAGAATTTTTTCTTCAATTGTACGAATTTCTTCAAGATTTTGTAAAATTATATCAAGTGCATGAGTAGTCATAGCAAGAATACGATTTTCTAGTTTAATAGTAACAATTGGTAATGGACTTGATTTACCTTTAGGAATATCAATACGAATATTAATTGGTGGAACATTTTCATTATTAAATTCATCTAATAATTAAAAAAAAAAGAAAATAATAATAAATTAGATTGATAAAAATAATTTGTCAAAAATACCAGGACATTCATTTTCAAATAATTTTGGTTTAATTGAATCATATTTTAATGAATGAAATTCATCAATACGTAAATTTTTTACATTACAAGCAATATAAATTGGTTTATCATGTTTTTCTTCATCTGCACCTACATAAATTTTTATTTCATTTAATTTAATAAACGCTCCGTTAATCTATAAAAAAAAAAATAAAATATATTCATTTCTTTTTTTTATTCTTGGTTTTATTAAAATAAACATACGGATTCTAATGCATTTGTTCCAATGACAATACTATTAACATTATTTTTTTCTGTTAAACTAATACTATCTTCGTCAAGTTCAATACGTGCTGGTTTTTCTTGTTGTTCTTGTTCTTGTTGTCGTTCATATTCGTTGTTTAATAAAGTTGGATCAACATCAGCATCTAAATCTTCACTTAATTGATCCCATTGTGATGATGTTTCATCAACATTATCAACCATATTTACTAATGATGTTTGTGAAGAACCACGTGAACCTTTTGATGTTACTTCTAATCCACGTTGAATATTTTCTTCTACTTTAGGTTTTTTTTGTCCTAATGAATTAAAATTTTTATTATTCAAATTCTTATTATCTTCAATAGTATTAATCGATGATGATGATGATTCAAGTTTAGCTGTACTAGCAACAATAGCCGTTGGTGTTATTATTAAATCAATAACACTATTTATATCAGATGTATCATGCATAGTAGGTTCTATTTCTGCCTCAGGTAAACTAGGTTGAGGAACTGGTGTTGAAAGATTAATCATAACATCTTCAAGATCATCTATAACAGCAAGTGTAAATTTTGTTGGTGAAAGTACACAAACATTTATTTTTATATTTTTAGGAACATTGCTAGATAAAGATAAATCTTGTTGTATTTGTTGTTTTATTAAACGACTTTGAACTATATTTTGTTCGAGTACATTAAGAAATAAACCAAATTCATCAAGTAGATGCATAATAAATGTATATTGTTTTTGAGAAATTTTTAACATTGCTGGTGTTTCGAAAACACTTATAATATTTATCCACGGTGATCCTATTGAAGATTCAACAAGATATGATAGAACATTAACTTTTTCTAGACATATATATATATGTATGTTACCTGTTTGTTTTTCATCAACTACAACCCAACCTGATATTGAAAACGAATCAGTCATATTTTGTTTTGCTAATCGAACAGATTCTGACGGAGATGCTGGTGTAAAATCTATATAAATACTGTCAGCATTAAAATGCCAAATATCATATTTTGCAGCCTAATAAATATAAACAAAAAATGTACAATTCAATATTTATTTGAGATGAAATTTTTATCAAAGACTTGGATCTATGAATATTTTTTTTATATAGATAAACAATATCCCCCCCCCCCCCCCCTCCTCTCACAGTTCAATCATTTCATATAAAAAGTATTGATTAGTAAATCAAATAACAAAAAAAAACTTTTATACGATTCATATTGAATCAGGTCGTGAAAGCTGATCTATATCAAGTATAATGATTTATTTGCATCAGAAATGTCTATGGCAGTGACAGATATCTGGTCATGATGGACATCTCTCAATTGCATATTTATTTCTTACCTTCTTCAATGAATCTGTCGTCATTGTATAATATGAATGTAGTGCTGTAGCAGCCGATTGTGATTCAGGTAAACTAGTACCAATTTTTTTAGTTAATGGATTAGTATATAAATATGTTTCATATGGATGTTTTTCATATAATGAACTAATACGTGTTGTATTTGATGAATCATTTGATAATGGCCATTGATTTAATTGAAAAAAGTTTGTTTTTTTAAATAATTCTAAATGTTGTTCAAGTTTATTTCGATTACTAGTTGATTCAGTACGAGAATTTGTAATTAATATTTTTGAAATATTTAATTCAAGTATTTCAAGCTTTTGTTGATTTGGCATTTCTTTACGTTCTAATATATTTGGCATAGGATTATTTTCATGTTTAGCTTCTTGTAATTGATAAGCACCAGAAAATATATCTGAACTAATAACAATCTAAATAAATAAAATAGAAAAAAAAAAGAAATTATTTCGACAAAATCAAAACAAATCTTTTATATACTCGTGGTAACATAGCTTCTATTTTAATAGCTACATGTTCAAGATCCATACTAGGTTTATCAGTTTTTAATACACCTGAATTATCCTAGAAGAACACAATCAAATAAAAATAAGATTAGTCTTCTTCCAGAAATTTCTTTACTATAGTCATTGATACTGATGAAATAAAAGCATGAAGCCAACTATATGTTGCAAAATCGATGCGCATAACCATAGGCATTATTTGAATATATAAATCATTATTTGGTACTAAAGATAAAAAATAAAAATGTTATATTTATAAATAATTTTTCTCATAATTTACTAGGAAATGCATATGGTAATGGATAATAATATTCAGTATGTTGAATATGAATAACACCTAAAAATTCTGGTAATTGATATTGTGTTCGATCTGATGTAAGTAATGGTCGACGACGTTTTTGTTCTTGATGTTTATTTGAATTACTATGTAATGAAACAGGATAAAGTACAAGATCATCTATATTCATAACAGTACATGATTCAAATAAACGAATACGATTTGTACGAAGAGCTTTTTCGAATTTTGCAGCTAATAAAAAAGAAAAAAAAAAAAAAACAAGACAAATTTAATCATAATATTTTTTTTTCTTCTTCTTGTTAAAAAATAAAACTTACAAGTTTCATCATTGGGTGCATTATTTTTAGCAGAAGTTAATTGTTCATTCCATTCTTCTCTTAATCGTGCTGCCCATTCATCTCGATTTAATGCTAACATTTCACTATATTTTATCCAATGTGTTTTTGATGATCCATATTGATGATAAGGATAATGATCTATAGATAAATTTGCTAATGTTATTTGAAGAGCACCACTTTCAGCTAGACGACTACCTGAAAAATATAAATAAATAAATAGATAAATTGAAAAATTGATTATATTTAACAAAAAACAAAGGACTGAACAATAACAACGAGACAATATTACATATTTCTTTTTTCTTTGATCTTACTTGTTGACTGAAGAAAAGATTCTGAGAAAATTCAAAAACAAAAATAGAAGTTTTAGTTTTGAATAGAAGTAATTTATTCTTTGAATTTTAAAGGAAATTTTTACATACTGAAAATCTTTGAATCAGCAATAATATGTATATCCAATCGTTTAATATTAAAATGTAATGATGTTTCAACGACATCATAATGTTTAAAAGGATCATTTGATTGTTGTTGGATGTTTAATGTACCACTAGAATTCATTTGATCATTGTTACCTGTTGTTGGTGGTTTTGGTTGAAATGTTGATGGTTGTTGTTGTTGTTCTAATTTCTAGATTATATAAATAATTTTAGAAGATTTCTGATTATCAAGTTAGTGATAAAATTTCAATTTTCTATTAACAGATAGTAGAAAATTCGATTATACTGAGAAATTGAAATGATTTATTATTTTTTTTCTTTCACACAATCTATATGCGGTGCAATACTGGCATGAAATTTGTTTATTACAATATGGTTGACATTACCAATAAGATCTTTCATTAATACCATTCAAATTGTAGAGTTCATTTCAAACAGCATTATGTCTATACTAACTAGGAGAAGATAAAAAGAAAAAATATCACAAAAAATCAGCAAAGTTAATTTTGAAAGCATTGCGACGATAGCACAATTAAACTAAATAATCAACATCGGAACCTGTTAATCAATGTTAGCTGAGCAAAATCAAAGTAAATAGAAACTTCTATGTACCAAAGCTACATAAATTGTTTCTTCTTTTTTTTTTTTTTTTGAAAAAATTAGACATTTACTCAGTGAAGAATATTGCGAATATGATTAACATCATGTTGAATAGTCAATGAACAAAAATTTTAAATAAATCATCTAAATAAACGATTGAAATAACACTTTTTTGTTACCATGGAAAAGTCTTTTTGTTCTTTTCTTTTGCTCATCATTATTCAATGGTATTGTTCTTTATTGTCAATCTAATTTTGAAGAATGGCTCAAAAATATATTAGATTTCTTTTCTTTTATGTTTATTCTAAAGTCTATAGAATACACATGAGCCCATGCGATCAATTATTTTCAGGCCATTTCTTTGTCTTCTTCTCATTCGTGTGCGATTAGACTTCAACTTGACCTAATCAAAATTGTAATTTACATTTAGCTCCCTTCCTGTTATTTTCTATTATTAACATATAGCTATTTTCCGGTCTCTACATCAAGTCGTAAATGTAATTTTCAGTGTTGTAATTGCTATTTTTGGTTGAAACATGACTATTCCTCTTGTAATCTATTGATTCAATTGAAGAAAAAAAAATTCTATTCTCTTAAAAAATAATTTACACTGAAGTACTGTTATCAAGCAAAATTTTACACATGTTCTCTAATTTTCTGTTTATGACACTTGTGTTTTATTTAAAAGAAATTTGATTATACATCAAGTAATGTTTTTCTACTAATTATTGAAATAAGATGAGAATGAAAGAATTTTAAAAAAAACTACATACGGTTAATTTATCTCCAGCTATACGTTTTCTTTGTTCAGATGCACGTTTCATTAACTGCGTAATTTCTTTATAAGTACTTAAAGCCGATTTAAGTTGTGCATCATTAACAACTGATAAAAGATCATCAAAATGAACCATAACACGTGATGTTACCATAGTACTATCTTTAAGCAAAGAAATCTCATTTTAGTCTTTTTTTTTTCCTTTCAATTATCAAGAGAAAAATAAATAACCTTGAAGATTTTTTTTCATAGAAATTCGTATTCGACATGCATTAGCAATCAAGCGTATAGCTGCAGTTGCCATCGTACTATCATTGGATGATGCTTCAATACGTGCATTTTGCCATGAAATTTCCTTGCAAATGCAGAAGAAAAAGAAATTAAGAAAAACTAAAAAAAGTTCGATATTGCTACTTTAAAAAGTAGAATATGATCTTTAGTTGAATTACGAAGACGAGTTAAATTTAATGTATCAACTTTTTTTCCATAAGGTGTTATACTATAAATTTCAAGACTTGGCAACTAAAGAGAAATAAATAAAGTCTTTAATTAAATATAAGTAGTCATTTTCTACTAACAAAAATTGATGCTTTAAAAGCTTGAGCTTTTACAGCAAATGTTAAATTTGTAATTGTTAATGAAATACCGTCAATAACTCGATTTGTAAAACCATATTTACCCAATAATCTATATGATAAAATTAAGATGTTCTTTAAAGCAAGAAAAAAAAAAAAAAAGACTTTACGGATCATTTGCATTTGAAGCATCATTTGAATTATGTAAATCTCTTAATTGTTCATATGTTTCAATTTCAATTGTTACATCATCTAATTGCTAGAGAAATTATGTTTAAGATTTTCTATTTTGTTTATTAATGTTTTTCTTTCTTACTAATTGAATTGGTAATGTTTTTAAATTTGTCCAAGGAATCTAAAAATGAGGGTCTTGTTTTTCGTTTTTGTTTACATATCGTGTTTTTTTGTTTACTTTAATAAAAATGCGACCACATGTTGCTTTACGAATTTTAAGCCATGTTGGTAATTCAATAACGTCCTCTAATGCTTGTTCATCTAAATCAATCGATGATAATTCACCTTCGCCTTTTAATGTACTTAAATTGATTTGATTTGATGATAGATTTTTAACAAATCTGTTGTTTTTTTTTTTTTTTTTAGAAAAATAAAATACAGAAATTAAAAGAGAAGAAAATAAATTTTCGTATTTCAAACTTTGATAAACGTTTTATAATTTGACTTTTAATTAACGATGCCATTTAAAACATATCAATGAGTACACAGTTTTAAAACAGTAAAATGCAAGACTAAGAAATTATTCTTATATTTCTACTCTTCTCCTCCAAAAGCAATAAGCTCCTATAGTAAATAATCAAATCAAGAGAATTATTTATAGATGTCAGTCAAATTCGTAAGAATTTATTTTATCAAAAACAAAAATACAAATTATTTTTTCGTAGGTTTAAACATTCCTTGTACTTCTCCAGACATTGCTGTTGTATTTGTTGTTGAATTCGTATGATTATTTATCCATTTATGTTCAATATATTCTTTCATATAAACTTGTTCACGTTCATTTGGTTTACCAAAACCACGTTGAATTAGATCAACTAATTGTTCAAGTAAATGATTTGTTTGTGCAAAATTTGTTTCAATAACATAAGCAACACTTTTTTCTAATGAACAATGTGGTCTTTCAAGTTCATAAGTTGAACTATAAATTAATTGAACATTTGATGATATTGCTTGTTCAAGATTATATTTTGAACGATTACAAGCAAATAAAGAACTACATCGAAGTATTATCCATTCAGTTAATATATGTGGAGTATAATAAATATCATATTGTTGTATTGTATTAAATGAACAATTAAAATTAATATCATGACCATATTTATTCCAATCAATACGTATAGATTTTATATTTAATAATGATAAACTACAATTAATATTTTTACATTGAATAGCTATATTACGTAAAATATATGATTGAATATTATGAGATTCAAGATGAAGTTGAAAACTATATTCATAATCACTTGTTGTTGTATTATATATGCATTCATGTATTGTTTGATTATTATGATTTATTTGAATTTCATTTGTATAAAAATATTGACATGGATAACGTCGATATTGAAATATATGATGATCATAATCGAATACACGTACTGTTGTTACATAAGCAAGAGCACGATCATCTGACCATTCACTAGATTTTAATGGATTATACACTACAGTATAACTCTCAAATACATCACTACAAGTTATATGCAATCCAAAATTGAGAATAACAAAAGCACAGATTACGCGATGCATTATTGTTACCAAAAAGAATTTTTCAACGCTTTATCTTCTATGATAGACAGACATACGTAATACCTATATATATATGTCTATATCACTAACTGATGACAGATACTAGCGCCTAGCAAAAAGTTTCTATCTCTTTTACTTTTATATTGGATGAATTATTATTCTTTCTATAATATTGATATCTGTCGATCATCATAGCCAGAAAGAAAAAACTATAAGTGCATTTCTATATATATATATATATTCTGTAGTCGATTTTTCTGTAAAATTACGCGCATAACAAGAGAGACAAAAAAATATATCTATGATCATAACAATTTTCCTTGTTTATCGTCTTTTTCGTACACAAGCAAGAAAAGAAAAACCAAAAAAAGTGAACTTTTTCTCTAGTCTAATATAAAAAAAACAATTGATAAAAACAGTCTCATCAATCTTCACTACCATCCAACGAGCAGAAAAAAAAAAGAATGAATTTCAACACAATACAAGTCAAACAAAATTATCTAGATACTCAACAATGAGTATAAAATGTACATGAAAGGGGGGATGGGGAGCAAGAAAAAAAATCTTTTTTGGTATCAATTCATCAATATGATGTAGAATAAAACACAAAAAAAAATTTTGTTTTTTATTTTCAAGATTGTGGCGGAGAGCCTGTATATCGAAGATCATAACGAATGTTCATTGAACGATATTGTATAGGTTGCGAAGAAAATGATAGACAAGAACGAAATGTAGACACACGTGTCCGTCGTCCACCACTTATCTTCTCATTTGTACCTGTAAATCTTTCACATTGTTTTGTTTCATAACGATATTGTCGATATTCGTCTTGATAATCAATATCAATCATTGTACGATATTGATTCGGAATACAAAATTCCTAATAAAATAAAATAAAAATTGTTTTTTTTGAAAATGATAAATTCTTACCGTTGAATATTCATATAATGCTTTATAACCACCATCAAGTAAATATATTTCTGGATAATGTAATTCTGGATAATTTTTTTCATGTATATTTCGATCTTCGGATCGAAAATATCTTAAACTAAATAAAACACATCCTCTTTATATTTTGTCTCTGATAAATACAAAAATATTCCGTGTCAGAGAAGCTAAGGATACAGTGTGCATTTAGACGGACATTTGACTAAAAATGCAAATCTCATCTTTTCAAGATTTCAATATAGGAGAATATACTTCGAAAATTCCTGTTAGCGCAAATATTCTCGGAGTGCCCAATGAGTTTCCAAGCAGCCTAGATTTTCAGGAATTTCTCAGTTTTACTAACTTTAAGAAAATATTAAATCGACAAAAAGAGTAGATTTTGAATCAACACACTAAACTGCATTGAATGGTATATAATGCAAAATTATTTTGAAGAAAAAATTGTTCTTAGAAAAATAAGGCTCAGGGTCTCTCTCAGGTTTTCTTTCATCGGAAAACTTTTTTTCCCCAAAAGATGTTTTTTATTTTCTTAAAAATACTTTTCTTCGTCATATTCACTTATTTCCAGGCAAAGAAAATTAAGGAGACAACTTGAATAAGTAACTTACAGTGATGGTGCACGTTCTGATGAAAATTCACAATGAAATATAAATATATTTCGTTTTGTTGGATCTTTTAATTCAATTGGTTTACGAAAAAATTCATTGTAAATATTTTTACGTGTATAAAGATTTTTAGCTGACTGAATATGACCACCTTCATATTCATATGGATAACGACAATCAATTATATGTAAATTTTCTATGTCAGATGCATAAATATTTTTTAAAACATCAATCATCTAAAGATAAAATGAAATTATTTATAAAATGAAAAATTGTTTTTTTTTGTTTTCTCTTTAACATACTGTTTCAGGATTAATACAAGCAAGATCAGGATGTTTACGACTTTGACATCGTGATAAAAGATATGTACGTGAACGATCACCAATTAAATCACGATTAGAACCAAGTTCAACGGATGCTTTTATTTGTTCTTCATTTGGTTCAGTTAAACTACGAATTAACTAAATAAATAATTGAATAGAATATAATACGAATGTATTTTAAATATAAGACATACTCCAATTCCATGACGAGGATATTTTATAATCGATGAACGATTTATAATTAAATGATTTTCTTTATTAGTTTCATCGATTATTTTACAACGTTTTATTGATCGAGAATTTTCACTGTTTTCATCATTATCATCATCATTATGAAGACGTTTCTACAAAAATAAAACAAAAAAAATTTTTAAATCTATAATAAAACAAGTTATAAAAATATAATATTTACATTATTATTTGAATTTTCTTCAGTAGTAATAACCGTTAAAACTGGCATATTCTTTTCATTATCAGATAAGCAAAGAGGTAATGGTCGTATCCGTCGTTGTCGATTTTGATTAGGTAAATTTTCATCATTATCTCGATTTGGTGTCACTGTTGAAAGAGTTTTATCAAATAATTTAATAAGTTGATCAGAATGAGAATCCTAGAAATGAAAAATTTCTTTATTTACAATCTTATTGTATTTTAATACAAAACAAACCGATGATGATTGAGATCGTGTTTGCATTGAATGACAAGATGGTTTATTTCTATATTGATATAAACAAGGATATTTTTTATTAAATTATTTTTCTATTAATAAAAATAAACCTACTGATTAGGAGTTAATTCATCTAGACGAATTTTTTTATTTTTATTTTCTTTAATTAATGTTTGACGTTTATTATTACGTAATGATGTTGGTCGTGGAAGTTTATTGAAACCATAATGTTCTAATTTTGAACGTGTTTGTTTTGTTATAAGATTATCTGTTGTTTCAATTCGTATTGACAAACTAAAACAAGAAAAAAAAATGTCCTTTTTTTTTTTTTTTTCTCTGTGAACTTTCTTTAACAGTTTCATTTGTTGACAAAGAAAACAAATAACAACCAGAAATCGGCTTAGCTCACCGCTGTTAAATAGAATAAGATTATCATTTTGTTGTCTATCTGCTAATAGCAGGGTAGCACACATTCATTTAAAAAGGAAGAAAGAAAAAAAAGTCTGATGAAAGTTGACACTAGTCAATAATTACATCAGGGGAAAATCGTTGGAAAAAAAATAAAATGTCAACGGTCGAACGAACACCTCCTACACTTGAGTGCCATCGAATTGTCAGTCATAAATCAACTAGAACGATTCTGTCGTGAACCATAGGGTGGATTGTTTAATATTCAATACAATCCACTTCATTGCTTAGACATCAAAAGATAGGAGAAGAGAAGAAAAAAAAAACGAACGAAAAGGAAACACTCACTGTTCATCTTGATGTTGTTCTTGCCTGAGGATATGAACTAGAAATAAAATAAAAATTGAAATGTGAAAATTTCAAAAAAAAAATGATTTATCTCTTTTCTTTTTTGTTACCTGAAGATATCGATTGTGGACTATTATCTGTTTCATCATCACTTGAAGAAAAGACAAGTTTACGTCGAGGTGTTCGTCTAAAATTCATTTATCATGTTTAATGATGTAGAAAACAGAAGTATTTCTAACGGTTTTACTCTATTCATTAATGTTTATTCAACTGATAAACAATATATCAATGCTTTTTGATTCAAGCGATTTTATATTTAACGGTTTACATTTATTTAAAATGATGAGAATCATAAAACAAAATCAAATAGTCTTCAAATTCTTACCGTATTATAAAATTCCAACTCATAACGGAAGTATTCATATTGAGTTCATGTTTAATATCCAATAATGTATTCATATGTACATCGTGTTCAACTATAGTTTTATCCTTTGGATAAATGAAAAAATATTTGTTCTCTTCTACTTTTGTCAAGTTTAATGAGTTTTGTTATGTTTTTTGAATGTATATTCATTACAAAAGAGAAGAAGAGGAATGAGATGGGAGAAGAAGTCGATGCAATGAAGGATAACATCCTTCTTTCTTTTTTCTTGTTTCCTTCTCTCTCGGGAAAGACAGTTCGTTGGACGAAAACAAAAATAACGAACGTTAGATGCGAACTTCAATGTTGTTTTCATTTGCACTTTTCTGAGTGCTATTAACACAATCTAACACATTTCCATATATATGTATATAAAATCAAAGACTATATGAAAAAAATATTCTCCCTATTTTTTGATATAAAAGAATTTAAGATAAGCATTTACTGAAATATTTCTAATTATATATCATGTCAACCTTGAATAATCGATTTATGAAAGAAAATTGATGTGTGAAAATCGATGAAACAAAACTTTCTAATAGGATATTATATGACACAGATGGAAAAACAAAAATTACCTGTCAATAAAAATATTTCTTGAAGTTTGCATTTGAGATATGACGAGATCAATTAAGACAAATATTGAAGACTAATAATAATGAACATTTTGAATACTTGATTATTTATTACACTTGTTTCGGTAGTGAGAGAAATCAAAACATTTTAACAAGAATAGTTTTCTTGTTGTATTCATATAGACATATTCGACTGACTGATGCGTATATATGCAGCTGTTGCACGAATTAAATAATCGTTTTTCTCTCTCGCGTGCTAAAGAAAAGAAAAAGATAAGCACGTCTTATTCTTTTCGTTTTTATTTAATCAGCTGATCGATTTACAGGAAAAACGAAAAAAAAAAAAAAGAAATTCATGTAAATAGGCTACTTCCAAATTGCAGTCAAAAATCACACCTATTTGCGCCCTCACCCACACTGTTGGTCTGCTGATTGGTTTGATCTTTGTCCGCAATTTGAAAGCTACGTGTAAATATCGTTCGCTCTTTCTGAAATTGTTAAATCTCATGAGGTAAAATTTATGTTTGAGAAACACGTAATCTCCAGTGGTATTCAAACTGGGTTCATAGCAGTGTTTCCAATGGAAATTTAAAGCAAAATGTACTGTACGCTCTGTATTTTATTAGCAAAGTATATTTTATACTTTGTTTCTTTTAGCAAAATGTATCAAAGTGTACGAAAGCCAAATTTTCACAATCTGAAAAA